CAGTGATACTCTCCTCTGGGTTTGCAGAGGGGGCCGATCTTGGAAGGGGGGAGGGAGACGGAAAGGCTGAAGGGAGGGGAGAGCCGAACCAGCCATCGTCCTGTGCTTTTTAGGGTCCCCCAAGGAACGACGGGCTCTCGGGTGGTGCGCACCCCTGGAATGGAAACAGACAGTGCTGGAGCAGATGTTTTCTCGAAGCTGAGTAATCCATAACACATTTGTTAACTTATTAAATTGTTTAATTTACAATGATTCCTTAATGTTTGAATTGCCTAGTGGGGGATGTTAGCTCTTTGCTGGTTGTGCCTCAGCTTCCCCAGAGTGTCATCCCCACGGTGACTGGGGATTATGGGAACCATCTCTGGAGGGTACTGGGAAGAGAAGGCCCACCAGGGAGTTTAATGACTGAAGGGGAATATCAACCTGAAGAAATATCTTAAGCTACTCAGTGCTTTCTTTTTTTTTAATCCCAGTGAAAATCTTGGATTTCTTTTTCATGTTGGTAGAATAAGGCCTGAAGTTTGCAATGGCACATATACATTTCATTTCATAAACAGATCCAAAAGAAAATTGTAAATGCTGCAAAGGCATTTCCTATTGGTCCATTGGAAAATAATGTTGCATTTGATTGGTCTGTTTGCTTTGGTTTACTTGGGGCAGGAGTAGGCAACCTTGGCTCTTTTATGACTCGTAGACTTCAACTCCCAGAATTCCTGAGCCAGCATGGCTCAACTTGGAAACCCTTTCCCCTCAACATGGCTGGCTCAGGAATTCTGGGAGTTGAAGTCCACAAGTCATAAAAGAGCCAAGGTTGCCTACCCTTGACCTGGGGGAAGAATGTTTCTCTCCCCAAAACTGTATGCCAGAGATCCCCAACCTTTTGGGCACCAGGGACTGGTTCCATGGTAAAAGGTTTTTCCGTGAACCGGAGAGTGTGGTTTTGTGTGCTGCCTGCATACCATGGATGGGGCTTTGCTTTTTTGTGCAGACCAGTTGCTGGCATGCCAGGCCAGGTACTGGGGACCCTGCTCTAGGTGGTCCGTGCTGCTAACTGAGCTTTGGCAGAGCAAAGGAGGGGCCTGTACATCCCTCCTCACGTGGCCTTGACCTGCTGCCAACGGAGGGGGGGGGCGCTCTGGGTCAGGGGCCAGAAGGTTGGGCTTGGGTCCAGCAGATGTCCATTGGCAGAGGAGTTGTGCGATGGGAAGTCTGCTGTTTCTTTTGCCCTTTTAAGGAGGCCTTAAAGCCTCTCTGGGAATGCCAATCTTGCTGGTCCTTGGTGGTCTTTTTCCGGTTGCTTCCTGGGGGGGGGGGCCTTTGGAAGGGCTGGATTCAGGTCCATTTAATACCTTTCAGTTGCATGGAGCTCTTCTAGGATTGCTGTGTTCTTACTGTTTTGGGTAAGCCTGACCAGAAAAATGGCACCAAATTAATTTCTGTTAAAAAATTAAGGGTCTGTAGGGCTAATCCTCTAGGAGCGGAGATCTGGGGCTTCTGAGAACAAAATAACAGAGTTGGGAGGGATCTCGGAGGTCTTCTAGTCCAACCCTCTGCTCAAGTAGGAGACCCTTTAGCATCTCCGGACAAATGATTGTCCAGTCTCTTGAAAGTTTCCAGTGCTGGAACACCCACAACTTCTGGAGGCAAGCTGTTCCACTGGTTGATTGTCTTCACTGTCAGGAAATTTCTCCTTGGTTCTAGGTTGCTTCTCTCCTTGATTAGCTTCCATCCATTGCTTCTTGCCCTGCCTTCAGGAGAGTGGGCTGAGCCCCTCCTGTCTGTGACAACCCCCTAGTCCACAGGTCGGCAACCCGCAGCTCCGGAGCCGCATGTGGCTCTTTGAGCCTTCCCATGCGGCTCCCAGCCTCCTCTGCCATTTGCAGAGAGAGACAGAGACAAAGATAGGCACTTGCGCTTCCCTGCTTCTCTCTCTCTCTCTCTCTCTCTCTCTCTCTCTCTCTCTCTCTCTCTCTCTGTGTGTGTGTGTGTGAGTAAAAAAGAGAGTGGACTCACAGTGTTCTCTGAGGAGCTGAAAAGCTTATTGGGCAGAGCTCCTCCCTTTGCTGCGTCTCTGCAGGAAGCAGGAAGGGCAGGAGAGAGCTAGCTAGCCCAGCTATGCTGACTCAGGAATTCTGGGAGTTGAAGTCCATGAGTCATAAAAGAGCCCAGGTTGCCTACCTCTGGGCTTGTTGGAGAACAGCTTGAAGCCAGCTTGCCAGGTGAGCAGCAAATCGGAGAGAGAGGGAAAGAGAGAGACAGAGACAGATACAGAGAGAGACAGAGAGAGACACCCTTCTGACATCTAAAATGAAGATAATACTGCATAGATCCTTTTTTACCTTTATTATTTACACACACACACACACACACACACGCACGCACACTTATAATAAAGGTAAAAAAGGATATATGCAGTGTTAGTTTCATTTTAGATATCAAAAGGGTTTTGTGGCTCCCAGTGTTTTGTTTTTGGTGGGAAACGGGTCCAAATGGCTCTTTGAGTGTTTTGGGTTGCCTACCCCTGCCCTTCTCTTCATTAGAGTAGACTTACCCAGTTCCTGCAACCCAGTTTCTTGCAACAGCAAGTTTCAAGAGGCTGCAGTAGCTTCCTGGACAGCGGGAGATGCGCTGGGTCTCTTTCCTCTGGGTAGCTAAGAAGGGCGTAAAAGTGGTGGCTGTGGGGCCTCCTCCTGCCGTTATCAAAGGACAGCAGCTTGGGGAGGGCACCGCTCTGCCGGGTGGGGGGGGGGGAGATGCCAGATGTGAGCATCTCATCGTTTTGCAGTTCAGTTGCTCTCAGGTGTTTGGGACCTGAGGAGGTCAGCATTTTGCCCGGTGAGCGGCCGGCCTCTTTGGGGACAGGTCTAGCCATCGGTCTCATTTGTCTACCTCCAATCTGAGAGGCATCCGGATCTTCGCCAGGGATGCTGTTTAAAGTTTCAGCTTCGTTATTGGGGCTTTCAGGCAGCTGCCTGGACACCCCCCCCCTTTCATCTGAGATGGGTCTCTGGGTCTTTATTCCTGGCTCAACCCTTTTCCTGGGAAATTCTGGGCCTGGCATCTCCCTCACCTTTTGCATTGGGGCGGCACAGCCCACGGGCAGAAGCTTCTGTTTCTTTTTTCAGCAGCAGCTCAGCTTTTTTCCTCTCTCTCCTTCAGCCCACGGTCCCCAGGGCGATCTTGCCTCCAGCATACCCAAGAGGGCTGGTGTGTCTCCCAGCAGCAGCAGTCTAGCCCTTTTCACACCCTGCTCTGTATTAACCCCAGTTCTCTCCTCTCTCCTCTTTCTTTACTCTTAGCTGCTGCCTGGGTTCTGCTCTGGCTGGTCCTGAACGGGACAACTCATCGCGGCCATGGCCATCTTGCCACAGCCAATTCGCGTCAGGACAGTTTGCTGTGAGACAATTCCATGCGGGATAACTCAGCGTGATAAATGTTATCTGCCACTATTTCTTTGACATTATTTCCACTGACACAAATGGAACAGTGGTGGTAACATTGATTGTGTTGAGTTATCCCGCATGGAATTGTCCGGTGGTAAGTTGTCCTGTGTTGAGTTGGCCACAGTGAATTAGCCGTGGTGAGTTGGCCACGGCGAGTTCTCCTAAGCCCACTCTGGTGATGCTGGCAATCGCTTAGGTCCCCTAGTGCAGGGGTTCCGAACTCTCGGTCCGTGGACCAGTACTGGGCCGTGGCATGCCAGCAACTGGTCCACACAAATAAGCAAAAGCCCCATCCGTGGGATGCAGGCAGCACACAAAACCACGCACCCTCTGGTCCGTGGAAAAACTTCTCTCTATGGAATCAGCCTCTGGTGCCCAAAAGGTTGGAGACCTCTGCCCTAGTGCACAGCACAGCAGAGTTGAGAGATGGGCAGTTGAACACAGAACACCTTGACTGTGCTGCGGTTGCTGCATAGGAGGAGGAGGAATGAGGATGAGGAGGCGGCCATCTTCCCTGCCATCCTCCCCCAGTTCAATCAGGGTCACGCACAGGGACATTCATGTGAGTCGTGGCAGTGGCGTCCTTGGAAGAAGGCTGGAGGAGGCCCCAGGTGTCTGGAGGGCAGGGTCCCTCTTCCTGCTCTAGGGAGGCAGCTTCTCCTTGACTACCCTCCGAGGGACTTTGGAAACAAAGTCCTGTCCCCAGCTTTGGCCTCCCCTGCCTGCCCCACACCTCTGCTCCCCCCAGCCATTCTCTTATTGCCTGGTTGATTTACATACTGGGTTGCCATTGGCTGGCTCAGCCCAGGGGAGGTGCAGGGGGTGGGGTGTCATGGTGACCAGGGCTGAATGGATCTGTCCAGGGAAGGTGGAAGCTGGAGCAGCCTCTGGGTGGCCTTCTCCTCCCCTGACACTAGGCCTGCACCAGCAGATGGCCTGGGTAACTATTTGGGGGGCAGTGGGAGGGCAGGTGGGCTCCTGCCTGGGACTCCTGGAAACAAGAGCCCCTGTGCTGGAAGCCACACAGGCCTCTGTGAGGAAGATGCTCAGACCTCTGGCAGCAGCTCTTGTTGGTCTGCTCTGTGGCTGCCATTGATGGTGATTTGCTTGTGGTCCTCCAGGGTGGTGTAGACCAGGGGTCCTCAACCTTGGCAACTTTTAAGCCTTGTGGACTTCAACTCCCAGAATTCCTCAGCCAGCAAAGCTGGAATGGCTGGCTGAGGAATTCTGGGAGTTGAAGTCCACAAGGCTTAAAGTTGCCACGGTTGAGGACCCCTGGTCTAGACTCTAGAGCAGGGGTCTTCAAACTTTGAGACTTGCGGACTTCATGCCCATGTGGTTTTGAGGCTGCCGGTTCTTGATTCCAATGTTGTCTGGACACAACCTTTGTGTATCTGTAGGGAGGGTGTTTGGGGGGGGGCAATTAGAAGAGAGTCCACCCAGAGGAGAACACCCCTGCCGATCTGTGGTAGTCAGGCTCTCCTTTCTCTGGTCCTTGCAGGGATGATGAGGCCGGGTGGGTGGGTGGGTGAGTGGGAGGGAGGGATGGGTGAAAAGAGGACCTGGGAATCAGCATTTAGATCAGGGGTCTCCAAACCTGGCAACTTTAATAAGATTTGTGGACTTCCAACTCCCAGAATTCCCCAGCCAGCCATGTTGAAGTTTGGAGACTCCTGAGGCAGATCGCTGAAACGACCAATTTAGGTTTTCCACGGGCAGTTCAGATGTTTCCCAGATGAAGCACAAGCCACTCCTTTACAGAGGAAATGTGTTCCTCCTTTAAGAAATCCTTCATTCCTGAAGCCACCGGTGGATTTAGGTGGACACATTTGTGGATTGACCAGAGAATCCTTCTCTGGTTTGAAGATCCCTGGTCACCCCCTCCTTATTAAGGAGGTCCAGAGACCCCTTCTTCTCCTTCTCCCTCCCGCTCCCCCTGCCAGGAGTGTTCTCTGACCTCCCCTCTTGGACCCCTCCCTCTTGAAGAGGCTACAGGCGGACTTTCTATCCTCTCTCCCCAGGGCTGCTGCCCAGTTGCTTTGTTGGCCTGGGGGGACGTTGTGGTGCTCTGCGGACAGAACTGACCCGGAGCCCGTGATGGTGGGAACCATCCCCCGACAGCCGCGCCGCTTCTGGGGAGTGCCAGGCTGGCAGGTGTCCCCAATCAGCTTCACTAGTCACCATCGGCTGCTGCAGCAGGAGAACACGCCGGTCAGGGGACGGGACCCCGCACAGTGGGGTGAGTGAGCAGTGGTGGCACCTCTTCAAGGGGAGGAGCAAACTGTGAGTGGTGCTGTGGACCTTTGCAATAGGGCTGGAGGGTCAGGAAAGCCTTGGCCCCTCAGCTTGGAGGGTGTCCTGGTATCAAAACACCCCCTCCCCTTGGGGTTTGGCTAACTGGGGAGGGACAGGACCCCAGAATTGGCTCCCCAGAGGTGCAGCAGCCTTCAGCTGAGAAAGGCTGTCTGGAGGAAAAATCCATGGGTCTGGGGCTGCCCCTTGGAGGGCAGGGTGAGGGCTCCTGCTTCTGGCCTAGAGAAGCATCCTTGGGGGGGGGGGAATGGCAGAGAGGGGCCATCGGGGCTTTGCTTAACCCCGCCTTCTCTCCTCCTCCTTTCAGATGTGGCTGTGCAGCCCGCTTCCTAGCAGGGGACTCGGCCGGACGCCCTGACCACACGGCACTTTAGAGCCGGTCCTCCCGCTCAGCCCCATGAGGCACCTCACAGCTGAGCCTGGACCACCCCGCCAGCCAAGCACAGGCCTGAGCCAGGAGCAGGAGCAGCAGCAGCAGCAAGAGGAGGAGGAAGAGGAAGAGGAGGAGGAGCAGCAGCAGCAACAGCCCTGGAAGCATCATGGCCTCCAGATGGGCTGCAGTCCGCCAGAGCTGGGAAGCCAGAAGGTCTACCAGGTCTCCATCTTTTCTCCCCGGGGCAGCGGCCCTGCCCTACCGCAGCAGAGGGGCCCCCGACGGCAGCCGGTCAAGCGGGGCTGCCTGGAGCCCCGGTGGGTGGCCGAGAGCGCCGAGAGGGATGCCAAGAGGGCCCACTGGGGCACGGAGGAGGAGGAGGAGGAGGAGGCCATTGAGGACGGGCTCCTGGTGGATGAGCTGGCCCTGGGGGGCGCCGCCCAGCACTTCTCCCACAGCGGCCTGCGAGTGGTAGAGCACCGACAGGAGGCCAGTCCCGGCCAGCACGGAAGCTGGGGGCTGCCGGCGCCTGGCAGGCTTTGCACCACTTTGCACATGAGAGACTCGGTCCCCGTCGTGTGGGGGGAGCAGCCCGCCACGGACTCCAGGCCAGAAGAGAACGGGGGCCCCCGTTTCCCACACAGTCACGATTTGCACAGTCCTGCACCCCCATCCTCCCCGCCAGGACAGCCATCCCTGGAGGCCCAGGCACCCAATACTCCACCGGAGGCCCCCAGCTTGGGCACCAACGGGCTCTGCTCGGCCGAGAAGACGCCCTGCTCCAGCGGCCAGCTCTCGGCAGGTGGCCCTACCAGCTGCCCGGCCAAGAGGAAGCTGCTGCCCTCAGTTGAAGGAAGGGCGGCCGACGGCGTGGAGGAAGAGAGCCTCCTACCAGCACGCAAAAGGAGGGCCCTGTGTTCTCCCACAGTGCCAGCCTCCTGCCGCAGCACCGATGCCAAGGGCGCCCCTTTCTGGAACCACCTGCTTCCAGCAGCCAAGGTGAGGAACTGGGGCAGGGAGGGGGCACCATTTGTCTCCCAAAACCGACGGGGGGGGGGGGTGAGGAGCTGTAGTCTAGGGGAAGAGCTGCCTTTTTGTGGTGTCCAAGGGGTGCCATCTTGCTGGCAGGGCCCCGAGTTCGGGCACTCCCTGCAGTCCTGCAAAGGAGCCTCGCTTAGAGCTGAAAAGAGGGTTCCCAGCCCGCTAATTGGAGCCAGCCTCTGTAAGCGGCAGGAGCACCTGGGCTTTCCCAGCCTTTTGAGTAAATCCTGCTAGACAGCGGTCCCCGAACTTTCCGGCTTGGCAGAGCAGTGGGGGAGGGGGCAGGGGATGATTCCGTGCGAGTGGCAGTCACCCGCATGATCTCGCGCTCCATTAGTGCATGTGCGCCTCTTGCGCAAATGGAGCTGCGCGCATCTACGCACTCGCCTGCCTCTTGTGTGGCCCATTTCCAAACTGGCTGCAGCCCGGAGGTTGAGGACCCGTTGTGCTAGATGTCTCTCTCTCCTTTTGTCCTGGAAGCAAAGGAAGCCTCCCCCTCCTCATCCCCCAGCTCCGTTTCCCCCTGCCACTTTGCTCTTTCTCCCCCCCTCCCCACCCTTGAGTTCTGGGATCTCTCCTGAGAGGGGCAGACATTCCGTTTTCTCCCAGATGCGGGAGAATGCATGGCCTCCAGTTTACATATTTACTGCACTTCTACCCCACTGCAGTCTAATTGGCTGTTGACAGATACACTCCTATGCAATTAAAAAATCTGAATAAAAAGCAGGGACTTTAACGTATAGTAGAAAAATAATTGTAAGAGAGGGAGGGGGGAGAGAGAGGGAGGGAGAGAGGGAGAGAGAAAGGGAGGGAGAGAGAGAGAATGAGTGAGTGAATGAATGAATGAATGAAAGAAAGAATGAATGAGAATCTAATTGCAGTGGGTGATCCCGGTAAAGGGTCAAACCAACCGGAAGCTGCTTGGTAGCTGCACTCCTGTTCCTGGGTGTCACCAGTGCTCAGACTGCTGCTAGCCCAGTTTGGGTGATCGGGGCCAAGAGAGGATACCCCAAATAGCCTGCTTTCATATCGGTAGCAGTGTAGGAGAAGGAGTGGCAGAACCTGAGGGCGGAGTGAAAAGAGGAATCTACCTAGAATCCCTACTGTAGTCATAAGCAGTCCAACCCCCTTTGAATCCCATGGATCCTTATCTCACTCTTACCAGTTGCTGATTCTTAAGTTGAGGAGAGTCCTATGCATGGGCTTTAGCAATAAATCACTTTAACTGAACCTTCATGTTTGGGCCTGGCCTTTCGAGTCTGACGAGCAGCCAAGGCTGCAGAAGATGCTTTGTTACAAACAGACCCTGAGTTGAGGTTCCCACTCAGGCAGTCCTCAGCAGCCTTGTTCCCTGGCCCATCCCTCTTCTCTGCTGGAGCTTGTGGCTTTTTTGTCCTCCTGAACCAGCCCTGCTGTGGGAAGAGGAGAAGTTTCAGATGTCCCTAAGCCAGGAGTAGGCAACCTTGGCTCTTTTATGTGGACTTCAATACCCAGAATTCCTGAACCAGCCATGCTGACTCAGGAATTCTGGGAGTTGAAGTCCACAAGTCATAAAAGAGCCAAGGTTCCCTACCCCTGCCCTAAGGCTTTCTGGGGGAATGGGGATAATTCAGCGTTTCTCAACCTCAGCCGCTCAAAAATGTGTGGACTTCAGCTCCCAGAATTTCCCAACCGTCTGGGAGTCAGTCCATGAATCTTCCAAGGGGCTGAGATTGAGAAGCGCCGGTTTAACTCAACTGGTCTTTCAGCAGAGCAGCTGTCAGATGGGTCCATCAGATGGTGCTGGTTCTGGAAGACTGGCTGGCTGGCTGGGTGGGCAGGTTGAAAAGCAGCCTCCTTCCCAAGGCTAGACTGGCTTCCAAGAGGTGACCCGTGTGGGATGCCGTGTGGGCTGTCTCTCTTCCTCACCTCTCAACGGGGCGATGGAGCTGTAAGTGCCCAGCTGCTCCCAGGAAGAGCGATCTGCTCCAGAGGGGGTCCTGGATTGGAGGCAGGGGCTTTGGGTAGAGCGGCAGGATCTGACCTCCCCTTCCGGTCTCCCCGGTGCAGGGCTCAGCAAGCAGCAGGACCGGCGCTTCTCAGTTGAAAACGGGGCTGCACCTCAAACCGTGAGTCCCCCCCCTTCCCCACTTTTGAGGCAGAGAGCCCACGGCAGCCTCCAAACTCTGCAGCAAGGTGGGACGGCCCTGGGGCCTGTCCACGGAGCTCCCCAAGGCTGCCCATGTGGCCCTCCAAGCAGGGGTCAGGAGGGGCTGGAGGAGGCCCCCCTGGAGTGAAACTTCCCTTCTGCCCCAAGCAGGAGGAGGCAACTGCGCAGCAGCCCGGGAAGGGCTCTCGTGGGCCGGCGGCCCCCCACCACCTCTATCAGCCACGCCCTTCTGGGGAATTTTGAGGTAACCGAGGTCCTTGAGCAGGTCTGGGGAGGCCTCAAGTGTGGCCTGACCTACCACTCCCTGTAGGACCGTTAATGTCCCACGCGAACACGAAGCTGTGGGCTGGCTCCCTCCTTTCTGCCAAGGGGGCTGAGCTGAGAAAAGCTTGGTCCTCGTTGGGAAATTGGGGGGGGGGGATCCTGGTCAAGCTCCCCGTCTCCTGAAAACGGCGCCCCCTCCCTCCTGGCAGGAGTCGATGCTGAAGGGGCGTTTCCCACCCTCCGGCCGGATCGAAGGCTTCACCGCAGAGATCGGGGCCAGCGGATCCTATTGCCCGCAGCACGCCACCCTGCCAGTGGAGGTCACCTACTTCGACATAGCCGAGCACAACGCCCCCTCCCCATTTCTAGTGAGTGGCTGCTGGGAGGAGGGCTGGGAGGCGAGCCCCAAACCAGCCCCGCATTTGCTCTGGGAAGGGTGGAGGTGAGCAGGCAGGCAGCTGGCAGCGGTCTCTCCTGCCCTTCTTCAAGATCCCGCAGGGTCTGTGCAGACGGTTGAACAAATGCCAGAGACTTGGGGAGGGGGGGGAGGCGTGCTGGGGGCTGGCCCAGGGAAGGCAATCTGCTGTAGGAGCACCCAGCTCACGATGGGCTTCCTCCAGCCCTCCCCCCCCATTCCACCAGCAAGGGGCTCCCCAAGGGAATTTCATGTGGCAACCGGCCACATCCCGCCTTTTCTGACGATGTCCTCGTGCCTACTTTGTGCCGTAGGGAGTCATTGATTTGGAAGCCTTGGGAAAGAAGGGCTACAGCATCCCCAGGACGGGCACCATCCAAGTGGTGAGTGGCGGTGGGAGGAAAGAAGGGCACTCTGGCTTGTGGGGAATAGCCTGGAGCTGGGGCCAGCCTGGCTCTCCTCTCCCTTTGTTCTCCCCTCCTCCTCTTCCTTCCCTCTTCTCCTCCCCTCCCCTCCCCTCCTCCTCTCCTTTTCTCTACAGAGAAAAGAGAGCAGAGCAGAGAGAGTGGGGTGAGGACGGAAGGCATGGCAGGGGGAGACTGGGCGAAGAGCCCCACTCCCAACCATGTCACGGCAGCTCCTGTCTTTCTTCCTTCCTCGGTCGGCAAGACCCACGAGCCGCTGCCGGCCTCCCCTCCTTCCCTCCCCACTGACTCCTCTCCCGTTCCAGACCTTATTCAACCCCAATAAGACGGTGGTCAAGATGTTCCTGGTGACCTACGACTTCCATGACATGCCTGCCAACCACGTCACCTTCTTGCGCCATCGCATCTTCCTGGTGCCGGTGGGCAAGGGGGAGGCCTCCGCTTCGGATCTTGCAGAGCAGCCCAAGCGGGTCCTCTGCTACCTGATGCACCTGAGGTGAGGACGGGGGAGCCGAGCGGGGCTGCCTCTGGGGCTTCGCTGAGGACTGGGCAAGCAGGGCCTGAACCTCCTGTGCTCGGAGTGGTTCTCAGCTCTTTCTCATGGCCCCACGGCTGTCCGACAGCGGTCACTGCCCCCAGCTTGGGCATAAGGAGGGCAAATGCGGCCTTTTTCATTTGTGGCCCAGGGAGTGGGAGGGAGGGAGGGGATTGGTGGATTCCGCTGCATTTGTTTCACTCTTCCAGCCCACCCCGTCCCACTGTGGCTTGCCACCAAGAAAACACCCCCAAACCCTCTCCCAGATTTGGGGTTGGGGAGTGGGAAAGCAGGAGGCAGGTGTTGGCAGAGAGAGAGGCCAGATTTAGCCATATATCAGCGCCTGTTCTGGGTTCGCGCAGGTGCATTCAGAGGTGGATTCGAATACTAGCAGAGAGTCAGCCATCTTTTGCACCTAGGTTTGATTCTGGGCTCCTTTGGAGGCAGCAGTACAAACATTCTGTGCCCCACCTGAGCTGATGGTTGGGCTTATTTTGGATGTGGTTTAGCATTCATTTTAGAACAAGCTGCCCAGAGTCATCGGATACGAGATGGCCGACAAATTTCCTAAACAAAATAAACAAAACAAACAAATAAATAAAACTAACCTGAACCACACTGGTGGGCTCCGGGACCGTGGCATGGTGAAGCAGCCGAGAAAGACTGGGGGAGGGGTGTGTCTTTCCTGTGCAGCCGTTCTTCAGGCTGATTTGGGTCTCCTTGTTACGGATCAGCTCAGAGACCTGGTTGGGAAAGTGGAGAATTGGGCTCTTTGCGCTGCCCAGATGAAAGTGGGCCTGGAAAGCAGGGCATGGGATCATGCCACCCCTTGGCAGAACCTCCTCTGTCTTTTTCCTTCTGAGTTGCCTAAACCAGTCAGTTGCGCCCTTATCCAATGAACCAGGATTAACTGGTTCAGAACGACCCACAAGCATTATCTTAGGGCTGCGTCCCTTTTCATTGCTCTTTGCTCACAGACTAGATGCTGGAGGAGCTGTTATTTCCCTTGTGTCTGATTGCAAGTTTCCCTCACTGGGGGTCTCTGGGCAGCAGCTGGATAGGGATACAGCAGTTCAGCCCATTGCCTGGCCTCAGGCAGTTCTTCTAACTGGGCCCTAAGCTTATATGCAAGTAGTCCTTGACTTAACAACCACAACTGAGCCAAAAATTTCTGTTGCTCAGCGAGAAAATTGTTAAGTGAATTTTGCCCCATTTTACGACCTCTCTTTGCCCGGTTGTTAAGTGAATCACTGCCATTGTTAAGGTAGTAAGACAGTCGTTAAGTGAATCTGGCTTCCCCGTTGACTTGGCTTGTCAGAAGGCCACAAAAGAAGGGTCACATGACCCAGGGACACTGCGACCGTCATAAATATGAACCAGTTGCCAGGCATCCGGATTTTGATCACGTGACCATGGGGATACTGCAATAGTCATAAGTGTAAAAAAAATGGTTATGTCACTTTCTCAGTGCCATTGTAACGTTGAATGGTCACTAAATGAACTGTTGTTAGTTGAGGTCTGTACAGAGTATTGTGCTGGCTGCCCAGGTTCTCTCCACCCACCCCCCTTGCAGGCAAATATGCCTTGGTTCCCAAATGGACCCCCCCACCCCGGAGCAACAGCCTTGGATCTCCCCACCCCACAGGCCCATTTGAAGAGTCTCTGGTTTCCCTTCCCAGGTTCCACAGTTCCAAGTCGGGGAAGATCTACCTGCACGATAACATCCGGCTACTCTTCTCGCGCAAGTCTATCGAGATGGACTCTGGGATCCCTTACGAGCTGAAGTCTTTCACGGAACTGCCCCGCAACCCCTGCTATTCCCCCCGGGCTTGAAGGAGGGAGTCGGGAAGCAGCACTTTGCCCAAGCAGAGATGGGGCGAGGGGGGGGCGGTTGGAGACGCTTCCGTGCAACTGGAGCAGGGAGAGCCAGGCCTTTCCCAGAGCTGTGTTTCAGTCATTGGATCCAGCCCAGCCAGGATCACAAATGCAGCATATCTCAACCTCTTGTTTTGGTGGCTGGTACAATTCTGTGCAGGAGGCTGGGCAGAAAGGGAAGAAGAAGGGGGGCAGGTTGCCACAGGGAATGGGCTCCTGCTGGCTTTGGTAGGCGGGCAGGGTGCCTAGGTGTCTGGGCCACGCAAAAGCATGTGCAGAACTGGGAGGTGGTCTTTGTCTCCAGGGACTTCATGGGGGAGGTGCTGTTTTTAGGAATCGAGTTAGATCACCACGCAGGAGAGGCATTGGAGCCCCATCCAAGCTAGCTTGGAGAAGGGAGTTGAAGACAGCCGTGCAAGGGCTGCTCCCCTTTCCCAGGAAGCCATGAAAGCTGTAACACTCCAAGGAGAGGGGGTGTCTTTCCTCCTGACTGCTGCTTCAGGCGCCCTCCTCTTCCCCTGGACCAGCTGTACACCGCTAGGTCCTTGGGTCACCTACAGAGGCTCATGCTGGCCTCTCAGCCCCCAGTTCTGGTCCACACATGGTGCGTGTGTGACCCAAAGAGAATTCAGACAGAGATAAACTCTGGAGGTATGAAGTAAGGTTTGTGAATCAGTGTAAGTTTTTGCTTTGTGAACTGAACTATCACCACCCGTGTGGTGCTTCTGCCGAGGGCACCAACCAAGCTGGAGATAGTAAGGCAGGAGTTGTTTTGAGGGGTCCATGGATAGCTTTGAATCTGTCCTAGTTGGAGCTGCACCAGTTTAGAAGAAAGGAAGCCTTGCTGTGAAGCCCAGGCCTCTTTTGAGGGACAGTTCTGCTCCCTGTTGCCCCAAGCATTATGTTCTCCTGGTATTTTGGTTTGGGTTGCATCTCCTACATTGTTCTCTCAACAGGGAGCAGGTGTGATGAAAGGGGCTACAATTACAGAGACTTGAAAATATTTATATTTAAAAGGAAAGAAAGAGAGACAGGCAGAAATGTATGGCATACTTTCTCGCTTCTCTTTCCTTTTTTTTTTTTTTGAAACAGAAAAAGATCTATAAATGTGTGTTTGGAAAAAAATGTCTGCCTGCCTTGATATTTTCAAGAGGGTCTGATTCCACTGAATGGGATCGGGCTGAAATGAGACAGTTGAGCTGATTGGGACTGGTGGGTGACCTGATTTTTGGGGGGGGGAGAAATCAGCCCATTTCAATTGGAGGACAGTCGCCAGTGACACATGAGAGATTTATTGAACTCTCTTGTTGGCCAAATTCCTTAAGGAAGCCTCACTCTTTATAACAGCAGGAGTTGGGCCAGACTGGCTAGTGTGGGAAGGAAAGTGCCATGCCGTATCAGAGTGTGCAATTTTCCAGGTGAGAAGCAACTGGAGAAAGAGAGTCATTGTGGCACAGTGGTTAGAATGCAGCATTGTAGGCAAACTGCCCACAGCCAGGAGTTTGATCCTGATGGGGCTCAAAGTTGACTCAGCTGTGTTCTTCGGAGGTCGGTAAAATGAGGACCCAGGTTGTTGGGATCAACAGGCTGACTCTGTAAACAGCTTAGAAAGGGCTGCAGAGCACTGAAGCGGTATATAAGTCTTAAGTGCTGCAATTCTTTGGGCTTCACCCATCCATTCATGGGAGACTCTTCTGAGCGATCAAAGTGGGTTAAAGGGCGGCTGTGCAACTACATGGAAGCATCTGCCAAAAGGGCAAAGGGAGGAGGGTTCTTTAATGGGAAAGACGGCCAACATCACGCGTGGGCTTTCTTGGAGGAAAGCAGGCCTGGAGGGCTCCGGCCTGTAAATCCGGTGCTTGGCAGTCGCATTTCCTCCCGCTGAGAGACCCTGTGGGACAAGAGGCGTTTCTGGGGAGGCGCTAGTTTTGATTTTCGCCTGCATTGAAACCGGGAATGCGGCCCACGTTTCCGTTGGCCAGCCTGGCTGCATCCCTCCCTCTCGGACCCTTCGGTGGCTCTGCCCGCCCGGGCTTTCTTCGCTGCTGTCGGACCTCTGACGGGCGCCGCTCCGGAGAGGCTTGCGATGGCGAGCCGCGGAGGCGCTGCGTTGCGGAAGCGCCGGAAATCTCTGGGGCGCCGGAGGCTCCTGGGAGTTTCGTCCGGAGGGACGCCGGGCTCTTTTGCGGGGCGGAACCAGTGGCCACGCGGAACGGTTTCCTCTCCGGAGTGTAACGGGAGGAACCAAGCGGCCGACGTCCCATTGGTTGAGAAAACAGAAGGGGCGGTCTGGCGCCCGGGCGGGTTTCTTCCCGGAAGCGGAAGCGCGGCGGAGGCCTTGGAGCAGCGAACCGGCGCAGGGAGGGCGGGTGTCACGATGCTGGCGCTGCGGACGGCGCGCGGGTTCTCCGGCCTGCGGCTCCTGCTGCGGGAGGTGGGCGGGCGGGCAGGGGCAGGGGATGCTGGGGAGGTGAGCGCTGAGTGGGCGGGTCGGGCCCTTTCCCCCGCGCCTCCCCAGCCTCTCCCTGGTGGTCCTTGCAGGGCGCCCGTCGGGCGGGTCCTGGATCGTCGCCGCGGAGGAGCGCCTCGGGGCTGCCCATGAACACGATGGTGCTCTTCGTGCCGCAGCAGGAGGCCTGGGTGGTGGAGCGCATGGGCCGCTTCCACCGCATCCTCGAGCCGGTAAGAGCCGCGGGGCAGTGGGTGTGTGTTTGTGCTGGGGAGATCCCCGGAGGGCATCTAGTCGGGCACCATTGCCACGGCCGGCCTGGGGTCGGGAGGAGGCTCCCCAGCGAAACGGCGCTCGGCTCTGCCTGAAGATCTCTGTCTCTTGCGAGCCCCGGCCGCTTGTACAGTGTGGTCCCCAGCGGTCCTCTGCTGAGCCCCCTGGTCGCTGGGCCGGAGGATCGGGCCCTGCTGGGCGTGCTTTTCAGCTCGTAGCAACAGCAACAGCCCTCTGAGCCCCCCCCCCGCCCCGGCAATCGCGGGAAGGCCTCCCGGATGCCTTCTAGTCCAGGGAGGCTGGGCTAGGGGGGAAGGGAGCGCGAGGCTTCGTCCCACAACAATGGGTCGTTGCTATGGGCTGCCTCTGCCCTGCTGAGCCTCGCAAGCTGGTGCAGCCACATAAATAATACTCCGTCCTTCAAGCGAACAGGTCTCCCAGCCCATGAAGGGGCCTTCAGCTTTTGCCTCCCTCCAAACGTTCTTACACTTGTTAGGATCAGATGCTGCCTCAGCATGGTGGCTGTCCGGCTCTGGTCGCCTGCTCTGGGGCCTCCCCCTCCCCCTATGGGGGCAGGGAAAGCGCCATGTTGCCATTGAACACTCCAGCTGAGCCTCCAGGCAGGAGTCCAGTACAAAGAGCTGTTTAGGAGAGCTTGGGGTCCTGGCAGCCATTTTGCTTTCACGTTCCATGCTCAGAGATGGCATGCCACTTCCTCATCTGCTTGCTGTCTTCTTACAGGTAGTCCTCAACTTACGACCACAACTGAGCCCACCATTTATTAAGCAAGAAATTTGTTAAATGAGTTTTGTCATTTTATGACTTTTCTTGCCACATTTGTTAAATGAATCCCTGCAGTTGTTAAGTCAGCAACATGGTTGTTAAGTGAATCTGGCTTCCCCTTTGATTTGGCTTGTCAGAAGGTCACAAAAGGGGATCACGTGACCCTGGGACACTGCAACTATCATAAATACGAGTCAGGTGTCAAGCATCTGAATGTAAATCATGTGACCATGGTAATGCTGCAACAGTCATAAGTGTGAAAAACTTATGGTCAGTTTTTTCAGTGCCATTGTAATGTTGAACGGTCACTAAATGACTGTTGTAAGTCGAGGACTGCCTGTACTCCTTTTCCTCCCACATAGCCAGAAAAAGTTGGAGCTAGGTTTATCTTTGTCAATTGAGGGTGGTGCTGGTGGAGGTGAGCTGCCTATGGACTTGAGCATGTTCCTAACAAAATGCCAGAGTGTGGCTCAATTAGCCAGACAGTTGGATGTCACTGCAGATGCTTGTGAGTATAAATAGTGTGGGGAATAAATGAGCCCAGCTAATCTCAGCTTTCTCAGATTGTACACTTCGGGGCAAAGGACGAGGGGTGAGCCAAGCCTTGGGGAAGAGGGTGGGAAGCATTTCTGCCTGGCTGCAGCTGCTTTTCCCAAGGGCTGACAGCAGCCTGGAGGGTTTTAAGAAGAGGCCGGACAACAGGCTCTTTAAGGAGGGTCTGTTTGGTTTTGCAGCATATTACAGAGGCTTAGACTAGATCAGAGGTCCCCAACCTTTGGGACACCAGGGACTGGTTCCGTGGAGAGAGGTTTTTCAGTGGACCGGAGGGGGTGTGGTTTCATCTACTGCCTGCATCCCATGGATGGGATTTTGCTTGTTTGCACAGCCCGGTTTCTGGCATGCCGTGGCCCGGTACCAGTCCACAGCCCGGGGGGTTGGGGACCCCTGGACTAGATGACCTTGGTGGTGGCTGTTTCATCGTGAGGTTTTCTAGCAGAGTTTAGACAGGCTTTTGCCTGGCTCCCTCCAACCTTGTGATGCTGTGATTGTTGGACAGCCTGAGATGATTATAGATAGAGAAAAGGATGATTCTTGTCCTTTGCTGATCCTTGCCAGGGACTGAATTTCCTCATCCCACTCCTAGACCGCATCCGCTATGTCCAGAGCCTCAAGGAAATTGTCATCAACGTGCCAGAGCAGTCGGCTGTTACCCATGGTGAGAGGGCCCGACTGGGGGACAGTTGGAGCTGGGGGACCAGAAGCCCTGGGGAGTGGGGGGGAAGGAAGGGGCCGGTCTGCTGTGCGTTCAGAGATCAGCCCAACTGAATTGAGGCAGCCTTGATTCTTTTGGTTTGCCGGCTCCATTAGTTCCTTCAGGGAAAGGGTGCACCACGGAACGGGTCACACTCAGTGCAGGTGGTCTTCGACCTACAACGGTTCATTTGGTGACCATTCAACATTCCAACAACACTGAAAAATGTGACTTGGGACCGTTTTTCACAGTTAACAACCATTACAGGATATACGTGATCAAAATTGGGACACTTGGTGGCTGGCTTGTATTTATGACAGTTGCAGAGTCCTGGGGTCCCCTTTTGTGACCTTTCTGGTTGGCTTCCGACAACCAAAGTCGGGGGGGGGGCACGGATTCGCTTTACGACCGTGCGATTCACTTGGCAGCTGTAGTGATTGGCTTAACAATTGTGACAAGAAAGGTTGTAAAATGGGGCAAGACTCATTTAACAACTGCCCAGCTTACCAGCAGAAATGTTTGGGCTTAGTTGTGGTCGTAAGTCAAGGACTGCCTGGTACTTGTCAGTCTGGTTTCGTAGCCCCTGTTGGAGCATAAAAACACTGAAGTTTTCCAGGATGAGCTGTCCAAACTCTGACAAAAAACATTGTGGCAATGATAATAATTCGGGGCTGCCCAATTGAAATTATTCAAGGCCGCATGCAATGACTTTAAAACCCCCTTTGGAATGACAAAGCAGAAAGCTGGGGGTGTTCACAGGGCCGCTGATGTCCTTGGACTAAACATAAGAGCAGAAACGGGTCAGGGCCGTCCGCTCCACGGGCAGCTGGACTCCACTTGCCCTGGGCCTTTAGCCCAGTGCCTTGGACGTTTGATGCTTGTGGGGTCTTTTGTTCTTTGTTTAGGTTGAAAAAGCAGGAGCCTTGTGTTAGCGGTCCAAGTGCTGGATTGCTTTCTGGCATCTGGGCCTTCCCTAAAGCTTTGCTGTATAGATGATAAAAGTTGCCTTTGCTTCCGCTGAAAGAATTCCTGCGTCTTTGCAGATAACGTGACCCTCCAGATCGATGGGGTTCTCTACCTGCGCATCATGAATCCTTACAAGGTACCAAGCAGAAGCTCCACACAGAACGGGGACTGTTTTCAGTGGCTGTGTGGGGCTCTCAGAACTGCTTTTCCTCAGTGGATTTGGGAGGTTTGGCAGATGGATCTCTTTTGGGTTGATGTTCTCTAGGGCCAGGACGACATCGGGCTCAGAAAGTCAAGGCCTTTTCCCTTGATTGTGGGTCTGGCCTTTCTGCCTGGCCTGGAAGAAATTCACCTATTTCCCGGTTCCTTCCATCCGATGTCCCTCTTCCTCCTCTAGGCTAGCTATGGGGTGGAGGATCCCGAGTATGCTGTCACTCAGCTTGCCCAGACTACCATGCGATCCGAGCTGGGCAAGCTCTCCCTGGATAAAGTTTTCCGGGTAAGCAACAGAAGAGAAGGAAGACCCCCCCACACACACTCTATGTACTGTTTAATAGCGGACAAGAGAAGAGCAGAGTGTCAGGCTTGTCCCGACTTGGACATTTAGGAAAGAAAGACCCTCAACTCCATTTGTGAAGTGAAAGGTTTACTAAAGTCAAACCATTACAGCATAAGCAAAGCTGGATCTGAATATTCCCGTGCAAAGCCTGCGTTTTTCCCTCTCCCCTGGCCCTTGACCAGTCTGTCAGTGTCCAATAATGTTCGAATTAAATGTTTGGGGAACGGTTTTGAGGTTTGGCGCCTCTTTGCTGGAGTTTTGGCCGTGCTTGATCAGCCGCCAGTGTGTTCTGGATTGACACCTCTGGTTCCTGTCGCCCTGTCATTCTCCCCTTCTACCTCCCCAATCTTACCCCATCCTCCCCCATTTTATGGCAGAATGCCAGCTAAGTGAGGTATGCTGAAGATGGCAGACCTGACACAGGGGCGGCCTCCCCAGGATTTTATATAAATAATCTAGGTTAACCAGATAGCTGTCAATGCGCAGGGTGTTTGATTGAAGAGAGTTACCTGGCCTTTTCCTTTGACTAAACAAACCTATTGAGGCAAAAGCCAAAGAGGGGCAGCTCAGCAACTTCTGAAGAATGTGGAGGGTGATTGCAGAATCCACGCTGAGATGCTTCATCTGCCCAATTGCACACACTGGCTGCTTCTGGTCCATAGGTTCGGTGGGCCTGAGCTGGGCTGGGCCAAGGAACCCCATAGGTTCCAGGGTTGCCTTTCTGCTCTGCCCTTGCTGGACTCTCTGACTCCACCCTTGTTCCGTCCAGGAGCGTGAATCCCTCAATTCCAGCATTGTGGACTCCATCAACCAGGCCTCGGACTACTGGGGCATCCGGTGCCTGCGCTACGAAATCAAGGACATCCACGTGCCCCCCCGGGTGAAGGAGTCCATGCAGATGCAGGTCAGTGTGGCATTCCTGGGTAAATGAAGCCTTTCTAGGCAGCACCGTCCTTGGGCTGTGGAGCCGCTTGGTACTTGCCTTTCTTCATTCTGATGGGTCTCCTTTTATCAACTGGCTGGCTGTTGCTGAAATGAAGTCGATGCAGGTCATCTGTCCAAAAAGGAGTGGGCTCCCTGATCTGGCTTGGCCCTGTCTTTGCACAGGGTTTGGGGCTCGGGACTTTCAGAGAGGGGAGCAATGCCTTCTAAGCCCCAGGGCAGCAGCAACAGCTGAACTCCTGCAGTCCTGGCCTGGGGGTTCCTTGTGCAGCCAGCCAGGCCCTTTTGCCAAGAGGCGAGGGGATCCCTACTAAAAGGCCCCCTGTTGCTCTTAGGTGGAGGCCGAGAGGCGCAAAAGGGCCACCGTCTTGGAGTCCGAAGGGATGCGAGAATCAGCCATCAACGTGGCTGAGGGGAAGAAGCAGGCCCAGATCCTGGCTTCAGAGGCTGAGAAGACAGAGCGGATCAACCAGGCTTCTGGTACGGAGAGCTCAGAAACGGCTCGCGGCAAGGAGGCTTGGCCCAAAGCACGAGTGTTTTCCTCTGCCATGTGGGGTGCCCATATCTGGCATGGGTGGGTCAGAAGCACTGAGGGAATGGGAGCCCAGAAAGAGACGTCTTTGGGGCAAGCACAGATGCTGAAGGTCCCGGCCTTCTTCGAGGGAGGCCTGGCACTTCAACTAAAGACTCCTTCCAGGCAGCCTGGAGCAAGGGGGCTGCCCTTGGTTCATGGAAGACCCAGGCCTCCTCCCTCCCCTTCTCTGCATCCACTCTTCTCTGGGGAGGAAAGCAGCTGAGGGGGTGGGTGAGGCATCTGCTGGCAGAGCCGACCTTGAGGTGGGCCACCTCAAAACTCCATGGGCGGTCTCTCTTTCAGGGGAGGCCAGCGCCATCCTGGTGAAGGCCCAAGCCAAGGCCGAGGCCATCGGACTTCTGAGCATGGCTCTGACCCAGCAGGTGATAGTGGGGAAGAGGGAGGAAAAAGGTGTTGGCCATGTTGGGGGAGGGGCTGCCCCTCTTTGCAACTGAAGAGGGGCTCCAAGCAAGCCTTTGTGTGGGGCTGGGCTGCTTGCTGGAGGCAAGTCCGTGTTCATGAGAGGCGAAGAGAGTTGGGAGGTCTGTCTCTGTTGGAGACCCCGGGTTCTAAAGAGAGTGTTTTGGTCTAGTGGTTAAGGTACCAGACTAGAAAACCAGAGATCAAGAGTTCAAGTCCCGCCACTCTCCCTCTCTCAGCCCAACCCACTTCACAGGATTGTTGTGGTGATGTCGGCCCACTGACCATGGGGGGGGGAGGCCTGCATATTGCCCGGTTGGAGGCCCTCTTCCGTTCATCTCCGCTCACCAGGCATGCAGACCCCCTTCCTGGTGCCCAAGCAGAGCAGTCCACTGGGCAGAAATGAAAAAGTGGCTGAATGACACTGGTTGGTGGAGTCAGGAGGGGCCTGTTTATTCTGCTTTGGGCGAGGAAGGGAAAGAAAGATTCCTGTTAAGAGCCAAAGGATGGCTTTTCTCTGAAAGGCTGGGTGGGAGAAGGCCAGGAAGGCCCTCCCTCCCTCCCTCCCTCCCCCCAGAGCCCGCTCCAGCGGCCTTTGGCTCATGCTTCTTGCCCTCCTCTCAGAATGGCAACATGGCGGCTTCCCTATCGGTGGCTGAGCAGTACGTACAGGCGTTCTCCCAGCTGGCGAAAGAGTCCAACACCATCCTCCTGCCCACCAGCACTGGAGACGTGACCAGTATGGTCGCCCAGGTCAGTCTGGAGCACAAGAGCCGGGGGCCTGGGATACGCAGGCTGCAGCATGGGCGGGAACTCTGGGCAGGTGGAGGGTGGGATATGTGGGTCTGGCAGGTAGCGGGAGGGAAGCCCCAGCCATAACTGCAGAACAACAGAGCCAGCTGCCCTGGGGTGGGGAGGCACTAGAAATCAAGGCTACCTCAGCAGGGAGGCTCTTGATTTTGGGTATATCTGCTGCAGCCAGTCTTGGGAGCTCTCTTTTGGCGTGGGAGTTAGGAAGAGGGAGTAAGTTTCCCAGCCCTGGAGATGGTGTCTCAGAGGCCCTGGCAGCCTCTGTCTTGGAGATAGCAGGGGCAGCCTGGCTGGAGAAGGGATGGGGGGTGGAGAAAGGGGGAGCCGGCTGGCTGACTGCAGAGGTTGGGATGACCGCTGGATGGCAGTTGCAACACCCAGTAAGCTCTGTAATAGATGGGGGAAAGGGCCCTGTGGGGTGAGCAAGACCCCAGGATTAGGTGGGGCCAAGGCCAAGAGGCTTCTTTGGAGCCCCAAAGGACTGAGGTGGGCTTGCACGCTTTGCAGCTTTTTTAAGAGTCTGCAGACGGTCTCCAAGGCTCTTTTGGGGTGGGGAAGGAGCAGCAACTCCCCCAAGGAAGGGCCTACACCTCCTGGGGGGCTCAGCAACTGGGGTGGGACAGACACAACACACACAGACACACACACACACACACACGGCATCCTTGGTGATGGACCCCCTTCCTTTCTTCTTCCGCAGGCCCTGACCATCTACTCCTCCCTGACCAAGACTCAGGAGCCTCCCGAGAGCCTGGAGGGCCCCACTGACCCTCCCCGGTTGGCACAGAAGCCTCCCAGCACCAGCTATGAGGAATTGGAGCAGTCAAGCACCAGCTAGCCGGAGCCCCCAAGGACTGGCCCCCAAGGAGCCCCGGATGCACCCCTGTTTATTTTCTTATTGGATTGAATCATGTTGCAATAAAAAGGAGATGGCAGAGTCTGTGTCGGCAGCAGCAAAGGGGGGCGCGTCTGGGATCGCGGGGGGGGGGGGCTTTTCCTGGTGAAGCGGCGGCGCCCTTGACTCCTCCCGCCGGAAGAGGGCGCCCTCCGGCCGCTCCGCCTGCCCTCTCGCCCTCTTCCGGCCGCCGTGCCCTTTCCGGCGGGCGGGCGTGAGCCAAGGGCGCAGGATGCCGGGGAGGCGGGTGGCGGTGTCTTCGGCGGCGGCGGGGCTACTGCTGGTGGCCTGGGTCGGGTTGCTGCTTTGTTCGGCGCTGGCGCTCTTCGCCGGCGGCTTCCTCCTGGTGCGGCTGGAGCTGGGCTATCGCAGTGACTGTGCGCTACCGCCGGGCGGTCCTCCGCTGCCCGCCCGCCCGCTTCGGAGCCCCTGCTGGCTGCCGGCGCGCTTCGCCCGGGCGGCGCTGGTGCTGATTGACGCGCTGCGCTTCGACTTCGCGCGGCCCCGGCCAGACCCCTCGGCTGGCCCGCCGCGACCCTTCGAGGACCGGCTGGGAGTCCTGCACCGCCTGGCTCTCCAGCAGCCCCGCCACGGCCGCCTCTACCGCTTCCGTGCCGACCCGCCGAGCACCACGATGCAGCGGCTGAAGGCGCTGACCACCGGTTCGCTACCCACCTTCGTGGACGCCGGCAGCAACTTCGCCTCCTACGCCATCCGCGAGGACAACCTGCTCTGGCAGCTGGCCAGCAATGGTGGGAAGCCGGGGGGGGGGGAGGCGGCTCGGTGAGGCGCTAGTCCTCTTGAAGGAAGGCTGAAATCTGCCCAGGCTCCTTTGCCCTCGCTCAGCCTCGCCTGCTGCTTTCGCGAGAGTCGCAAACGCTTCTTTATGGGCGGGCGGGGATCTCCTATTCGCTGCTACTAGTTACCCTGGAAAGACCCCCCCCTCCGACTTCCCCCTCCTGAAGGTGCCCTCCTCGCCCGGCGTCCAGTCTCTGCTCTTTGAGCAGCCCCCAAGCGTTCGTTTTCCCTTCTCCAGTCCTCGCTCGTGTCTCCTTTCTGCGACGGATCTGGGCTGGTCGAGCTCTTGGTCCTAAGCTGAGCAAGAGCCCCCTCCAGGTATCAGCTAACCCCAGTGACCTCCCATCCCTTCCAGGCGACCCTTCAGGCTCTAAGGCAGAACCGGCCCAGCAACCTGAAAGACGGCCTCCCTCTGGGGCAAAGGGATTTGATTGGTGGTTGGGCTGTGCCATTCCACCTTTGGCCCATGATCTGAGGCTCTGGGATCCACCCCTGCACGTTTGACTTGAGGGGTGGTCTCCCCTTCCCCGAGATTGTTCTAGGACAGTGTTCCTCAACCTTTTCTTCACCATGGACCCCCTTTAAATACCTTTTGTGGCCATGGACCATGGCCATGGATCTCCAACACTTAAGATTTAAATCATAACATTTCTCCAAGCTTTGGTGGATCCCCCTGTGATGACATTATGCCCCCCCCCCGGGGATCCACGTGCCACAGGTTGAAAACCCCTGTGCTAGGACCTTTGAGCACTTTGATGTTGGGTAGAAAGTCAGGACGGTGTACCAGTCCCACCACCTCAAGGAGAACGGAGTGTGTTTCTAGGCTTTTTCCCCCCCTACGTATCATGACTGAAAAGATGTTATTTCCTCAGAAATCTTGGACGTTCGGCATGGCTCAGTGGTTCACACAGTCATATCAATCTAAAAAGCCTGTCAGACATAAACGGTGTTCATTTTGGCTGGGAAATCTAGCTGTTGATCCCTCAGCCCACCCACCCACCCCAAACTTTGGACTCGGGGTGTGAGTAGACCCTATACCAGGGGTAGGCAACCTCGGCTCTTTTATGATTCATGGACTTGAACTCCCAGAATTCCTGAGTCAGCATAGCTGGGTTGAAGTCCATGAGTCATAAAAGAGCCGAGGTTGCCTACCCCTGCTCTATATCGTATACCACTTCAGACAAATGGTTGTCCAATCTCTTCTTAAACACTGCAGGTTTTCAAGGAGAGACTGGACAACCATTTGTATAGGGTTTCTTGCCTGGGCAGGGGGTTGGACTAGAAGACCTCCAAGGTCCATCCCAACTCTTGTCTCTATTCTATTCTATTCTATTCTATTCTATTCTATTCTATTCTATTCTATTCTATTCCTTATTCTATTCTATTCCTTATTCTATTCTATTCCTTATTCTTTTCTACTGTACTCTATTCCATTCCATTCTATTCTATTCCTTATTCTATTCTATTCTGTTCCCCATTCCATTCCATTCCATTCTATTCCCTATCCTATCCTATCCTTCCAGATGTACTTTAATTAACCACCAAGAACTGTTGAACAAGACACACAAAAGATGCTTCAGGCCTACATTTGTTGAGGGAAAATAAAAGAAGAAAGAATTAGGAATGGTCTCACAGGTCATCTATTCCATCCCATTCCAATCCTAACCCTAACCCTGAGAAAGAGAGACCCCCTTGGACAGTGGTTCTCAACCTTTTTAATGCCGCGACCCCCAACCGGTTGTAAGTCGAGGACTACTCAACCGGTCATAAGTCGAGGACTACTCAATTGGTGCAGCACCGTTTGCAGAATGGGACTTTTGGCGGGCTCAGCAGGGCAGAGACAGCCTGGACAACTCCTATTGGCTTTTGAAAGCCAATAGAATTAGACTCAATTCAAGAGAGTCTATTCTATTGGCTTTCAAAAGCCAATAGAATAAAAGGGAGTGGCACAGCTAAGGAAAAGGGGAAAAAAATGGCGGACTGCGTTGTTTGGCAACCCCCATGAAATGGTCGTTTGACCCCAAATGGGGTCCCGACCCACAGGTTGAGAACTACTGCCCTTGGAAAAAGCAGGAATGAAGCCTCCTGGAATGGTGGTGATGCTGGAGCAGCAGCAGATTTTATGCTTAGGAGTGTATTGCCACCTGCTGGTTGCCATGCTGTGAACCCCCCTTCTCCGTACCTCTGCCAACGTCCCCCCTCCTCTTTCAGGGAAAAAAGTGGTCTTCATGGGGGACGATACCTGGGACGGCCTCTTCCCCCAGGCCTTCCACCGGGCCCACTTCTTCCCTTCTTTTAACGTGAAAGATCTGCACACAGTGGACAACGGCATTTTGCAGCATTTGTACCAGACAGGTGAGCAGGTCTGGTCCTGGGTGGGAGAATGGGGGATGAGTGAAGTTGGAGTCAGAATGGAAGGCCAACTCTGGGGAGCGGGATCTCTCCAGCTAGAAAGTGACCTGGGTTTTGTTAAGAAAATGCTTTTTAATTGCTTCCGTAACATAACCAGCGATGGTGGCCAAATGGCATATATTTTAACAATAAACCCAAAGCCGACAATCAGATTTCTGTGAGTTTCACAAATAAGAACAGGGAAAGGGAATCTCAGCCTCAACTGCCCTTGGTTCTCTTTCCATTCAGCTCAGCAGTTGCCAATCTTTCTGGCTTTGTGGACGGCGGGGAGTGGGGGGGAAGGGCAGAGGGGATGGTTCCATGCGAGCACACGCGCAACTCCATTTGAGCAAGCAGTGAGCACATGCACCCCTCGCTTGCATAAATGGAACTGTGCTGGTTCCTCTGCCCGCACAAGTGGAGTTGCCTGTGCACGCTCACCCGCCACTTCCACAGCTGGCTTCTGAACGGGCCAGAGCCTGGCATTGGGCCACTATCTGGGGATTGGGGACTGCAGATGTAGTTCTTTCCCCTCCCCTCTCGTGTTTTGCCATCCTCTTCCTGGTACCTTGCCTAGTTGAATCCATACCCTGCTATTGCACTGCAATGGAGGGAAGGCTCCAAGCGGCCTCTGTTCTTCCTTCCAGCCCTCCCTAAAATGCAGCGCTCCTTTTCACCTTTGACCTCTCTCCCCTCTTTCCTGTGGCACAGTGGATGATGGCGAGTGGGATCTACTTATTGCCCATTTTTTGGGTGTGGATCACTGCGGTCACAAACATGGACCAGATCACCCTGAAATGGCCAAGAAGCTCTCCCAGATGGATGAGATGCTCAGGTGAGTTGGAACCGGAACTGGAGGGGAAGCCCTCCCCCCTGCCACCCCCCCCCCCAGGATGGCTGTCCCTCCTGTCCTCAGCCTCACGTGGCAGAATGGCAGGCAGCTTTTCTACTGGGTGCCCTCATCTAGTGCAGGGTAGAGCAGCAGCTCAGGACACAAACCATCCAGCCCCAGCTGAAGCCCCGTTGCTTCTGGTGTGGCTTCTAAAAGTGCAAGTTGACTATTTCCACCAGTCTGTTTCATGCTGGTGCTGGCCAAGAGGGTGTAGCTTAAGTTCTATATTGTTGATGGACAGTTCACTGGTTGACCACCTGGGAAATGACACGCTCCTCCTGGTGGCAGGGGACCACGGCATGACAGCGACCGGGGACCACGGTGGAGACAGTGAGGAGGAACTCGACGCGGCTCTCTTTGTGTACAGCAAGGCTCCGCTTTTCCGGGACCTTCCCCCTGAGGTGAGCCAGAAGGGCACCTGGCCAGCATGAGCAGCCCTGCCAAAACAGACCTGGCACTCCCTGGTGTGGGACATCTGGGAGAAAGGACAACCCCTGGGCTGCGATAAGGTGTGTCCTTGGGCAAGGGCAGATTACCTGCAGTCTTCTAGGTGCTTCCAGAATTCCTTGCGTTGGTGGTGTTGATGGAATCATCAAGGTCAGCAGCCACACCTCCGGCAGGCAGCGCCAGGTGGCTGATCCCTGACAAAAGGCTGGATGAAAAACTGGGTGGTTTCCCGGGGATCTTCCATCTTTGCCCCATTGCTTGTTCCCCATTCCTCCTCAGGAGCCCCAGACGGTCCCACAGGTGAACCTGGTGCCGACCTTGGCTCTCTTGTTGGGGGTGCCAGTGCCGTATAGCAACATTGGGGAAGTGATGGCTGATCTCTTTGCAAGTGAGGGGGATGCAGCTGCCTCGCTCCGTGCCCAGCTGGCAGCCTACAACATCAATGCCAGGCAGGTAAGAGTGGATCCCCTCCCATGGGGGGGCCTTCAAAAGTGAGGTCTTGGTGCAATGGTTAGAAGGTAGCATTGCAGGCTAACTCTGCCCGCTGCCAGGAGTTTGATCCTGACCAGCTGGAGATTGACTCAGCCTTCCATCCTTCCAAGGTCAGTAAAATGAGGACCCAGATTGTTGGGGTCAATATGTTGACTCTGTAAACCTCTTAGAGAGGGCTGTGAAGCACTGTGAAGCGATGTATAAGTCTCAGTGCTATTGCTAAGTGCTATTAAGACAGCCCAAAGGACCCCACTCGGAGAGAGTTCAGCAGGGGAACCAGGGGATTCACGCTCCCCTTGTCCTGCCTCCCAGAGGCACAGTGGCATCTCCAGTTGCCCCTCACAGCACAGAAGATACAGCTGGTCTGGCAGCCACGAGGCTGAGAGGCTGAGGCTTCGGAGGCCATGCTGAGCTGCTTGGGAGGCCCTTAGTGAAGTGCCCCCCTCCCCACCTTGCTGAAGCAGCCTTCCAGTGATCTGAGTGACTGATCTTTTTGCCTGGGCAGGTGGACCGCTTTCTGCACTCCTATGCAGAGGCCGCTCAGGACCTCCCGGCGGAGAAACTGCAGCACCTTCAGCATCTCTTTCGCTCCGCCACGGAGGAGCACGAGCGCCTCTTGGCCCAGGAGGCTTCTCTGGTCCTGCCGCAGATGGAGGGGCTCCGGACACGTTTCCAGCAGTACCTGCAGGAGGCCCGGGCCGTGTGTGCCGAGTCCTGGGCCCGCTTCCATCCCGGCTGCATGGTGGCCGGCTGCGCCCTCTTGACCTCCTCCTGCCTGCTGTGCTACGTGGCCTCCCAGGTGGCCACTCGCCTGGACTTCTCCTACCGCCACTTCTTCCTCTACCCCCTGCTCTGGGGGTTGGCGGGGGTGACCCTCCTGGGGCTGGCTCACGTCTTCAGGGGGGCCAGAGCTGACCTCCTTATGCTGTCCTCCGGGGGGGCGGCGACTTCCCAACTGGGCTTCTTCTGGCATTGCTGGACCAGGCGCCCCCCAGCCCTGCATACGGCTGGCCTTTGCCCCCCGTTGGAGGGTTTCAGGCTGAAGCCGAGGCTCTGGGCGGGGCTGCCCCTGGGCATCCTGTTCCTGCGTTGCGCAGCCATGCTTTCGGACAGCTTTGTCGTGGCGGAGGGACAGGTGGTGCCCTTCCTGCTCACCTCCCTGGTGCTGCTGGAGGCTCTGAAGCTGCAGTGGAAGGGCAGGCTGGACGGCTCTCTGCTGTGCTGGCAGCTGCTGGCCACCTTGGGCGTTGTCGTGGTGTGTGCACGGCTCTCAGGGCTTTTCCAGAAGTGCCGCGAGGAGACCCCTGTTTGCCAGACTGCCTCCATTTTGGGGCCCCTCTCCAGCGTGCAGGAACCGAGGACCAAGAACCTCTATTACGGGCTGTGTGTGGGGGCGGTGGCGAGTCTGGTGTGGGGCACCCGCTGCTGGCTGCGCCATTACGGCAACCTGAACAGCTCCTGCGCCCTGGTCCTTTTTGTGCGGTGGGGATTCCCACTCCTGGCCCTGACCCTGGCCGGTTACTGGGCCATCACCTCTGGCGCCGAAGAGATGCTGATCAAACGCCACGCCTGGGCCCAGCTGGCTTTGGAGGCCTTCCCCCGCGGGATTTACGTCTTGGTGATGGCGGGGCTGCTCCTGGTTTTGTGGAAGCCCATGACCGTCTTTCTGGAAGGCAGCCAAGAGCCACCCCTCATGTCCTCCACCTCCGAGGCCTTGATCCCCCAGCTGGACCGCCGGATCCAGGAGTCTCTGAAAAGCCGGCTGGAGGAAACGCCCGGTGGTTGCAGGGCCACGGTGGTCGCCTACGGGCTGGGCAGCGTCTATTCGGCCGCCTTGCTCATCAGCCTGGCCCTGCTGGGCTTCCTTCTGATGACTCTGCACACGGAACGGCTCAGCCTGGCCTTCCTCCTGCTGTTCGTGGAGGCCTTCGCCCTGCTGTGGATGCACGCCTGTGCCAGGGCCCTCTCTGCAGACTCGGGTGAGTCAGGGAATTCTGGCTCGGCCTTGGCCGGAGGGCCTGAAAGGAATCGTCCAAAAGCAAAGCACATTCTCGAGACGCAGTTAAACTCAGTTCAGAGTAGCGGAAGCTGGGAGTCTCAGCTTAAGAGAAGCCCCGGGAAAGGAGGCCAACAGGGCTGGGGGTCCGGCCTGCAAAAAAGGGGTTGTCGTCTCTGCCTGACAGACAGACAGAGCTGGGGAAGCAAGTCCAGCTTTATCCTCGGGGCAGGTTCATAAAGAGTTAAACAGCGTCATAGCTGGTTTGTAAGCGCTGTAGGATTTTAAGGCTAAACCAGCATCTTGAATTGTACCTGAGAAATACTTGGCAACCAGTCAGGTGAGGCAGGGAAGGTGACGGTGGATATTACCTGTCGTGAGCACAATCTCCCTTGCTTGGTGCAATCCTGGAGACTTTTTAAAGGAAAAGCAGGAGAGAGTAGCTAGAGGCCCAGTAATGCCCCCCCCCCCCGAACGCTTCTAGCAAGCTAAGGGAGCCCTTTTAAAGGCAGCTAGAACTCCGGCCTACTAGAGAGGTTCTTAGCGGGGCTTTTAGGCCTGGCAGCCCTCGGATCAGCCGGATCTGCAATGCACAAAGATTTAGCAACAGCCACTGGGCTGTGAGCAGAAACCGTAGATCAGTGGTTCTCAGCCTGTGGGTCGGGACCCCATTTGGGGTTGAATGACCATTTCACGGGGGTCGCCAAACAACGCAGTCCGCCATTTTTTTCCCCTTAGCTGTGCTACTCCCTTTTATTCTATTGGCTTTTGAAAGCCAATAGAATAGACTCTCTTGAATAGAGTCTAATTCTATTGGCTTTCAAAAGCCAATAGAATATTGCCCTGCTGAGCCCGCCAAAAGTCCCATTCTGCAAACGGTGCTGCACCAGTTGAGTACTCCTCGACTTACGACCAGTTGGGGGTCGCAGCATTAAAAAGGTTGAGAACCACTGCCGTAGATGCTGCTGTGCCTCTGGGAGGCAGGAACAAGAGGGATGTGAATCTCCTACTGAACTCTCTCCGTGTGTGTGGGGGGGGGCTGTGCGCTGTGTTCCTTAGCAAGGAGAGCAGTGCTTTGGGGTGCGTGGGCTCCTGGGCTCTCGCTAGTGTTCCTCTTCCTCCTCCTCAGACCCCTTTGTGGTGCCGTGGGAAGCCCTGGTTGCTTGGGCTCTTGCTGCCGCCCAGTTTTTCTACGCCACTGGCCATCAGCCCGTCTTCCCCGCCATCCACTGGAACGCGGCCTTCGTGGGGTTCCAGCAGGGACACGCCACCAATCTGCTGCCTGCGTTCCTCGTTGGGGCCAACACTTTTGCCTCTCAGATCCTCCTGGCAGGTGAGTTCCGTGCTCGATTTTCAGATGGCCTCGGGGACCCAGCCCGGCTTCTTGCCCAGCAGAGAGAGAAATGGGCTCCCGAGTGAATGGCAGCGGCGACGGCTGGCAACCTGACAGTGGGAGTCAAAAGAGCCGAGGTGGCGCAGCAGTTAAAGTGCAGTACTGCAGGCCACTTTAGCTGACTGTGTTCAGCAGGTCAGCGGTTCAAATCTCACCGGCTCAAGGTTGACTCAGCCTTCCATCCTTCCGGGGTAGGTAAAATGAGGACCCAGATTGTTGGGGGCAATGTAAATATATATATACATTGCTTACTGGTGTACACCGCTTAGAGAGTGCTTGCACTTAAAGCGGTATATAAGTCTCATAAATAAATAAATAGACGAGCCCTGGCAGAGTGTGTGGGGGGGGGCTCGGGTCCTTTTTGGGGACAGGCCTTTTCTGCATCCATGGCGAGTCAAAGTTGCCCTTTGGCCCTCCTTCAGAAGAAAGAGGAAGGGTCTCTGCATCTGGTCTCTCGAAGCTCTTTGGCCCACATCTGAGGAGGGGGAGAGGGGCTTCCTGATTCCCTCCCTGTGTGTGTGTGTGCCAGCCTCTCTGTGTGTTTCTCTTTTACGCGCCCGTATAATCTGGCTTTTGGTCCCCGTCTCTTGGTGATCCTCTTTCTCCCGAGGTAGCTGGCTGCCCATTACTTCTGCTGTGGCCCTTTGTCTGTGAGGCCAGCACCTCCGGGGCCGGGAGGCCAAAGACGCGACTGCAGGACAGGGAGGAGCCGATGATGGAGATGAAGCTGCGGGAGGCGCCGGAGCGGTTTTCAGCAGCCCTGCTGCAGCTGGGCCTCAGATACCTGCTTATTTTGGGGCTTCAGGTCTGTGTGTATGTATGAGAGCCACCGTGAGAGAAGGCGTTGATGGGGATTCAGTGGCAACGGGTGTCCCCCCCCGGGAGCCTCACCTGGTTCATCTGCAACCGGTGGATCCACCAGGATGTCCATTTTGTGACTTAGTGGAGATCAGGAACGTTCATTATTGATTTATTAAACTTTATATAGCTTCCCAACTTACACACAGGTGGCTCTGGGCGGCTTACCAATTTTTAAAATCCGCCGTACAATAAAAACTCATAAACGGCAGCAGCCACACAATCTAATCAGCCACTTGATCGGCTCGGTCTCCATTCGGGGTCCCCAGGCCTGCCCACCAAGCCATGTTTTTAGGGCTTTTGGAAAAGCAGCAAGGTGATGGGCTAACTGTACCTGGGGGGGGGGGAATAATGTTCCTTAAAGAAAAAGGCACCACCGAGAACCCCCTTTTTCGTGCCCCACCAGATGACGGTTCCTAATTGATGGGGCTTGCAAGGTGCCCTGCCTTCCCCTCCTGGTGGGCAGAGTAGATGTAACAGGGGAGAGGCCTCCTTTTGTCCCTGCAAAGCCACACCCAGCCTCTCTGGGCAGAGGCTGCCCTTCCTTGATCTCTCTGTCTCCCAGAGGGCCCTTCTGTCCTGAACAGTCTCTAGTTCTCCCTTGCTTGAGTCCAGGGCTGCTGGCCCTGCTGAAGAGCTGCTGTGGGGGGGGGGGGGGAGATATAAGCTCTCTGTCCCTTCCGTATGTTTCCTTTGCGAGGTTGCTGGCTCAGGTGTGAGAAGGCCAGCAGGCTTCTACCCAGGGACAGGGCACCTGTTTCCTTGCTGGCTGCAGCAGCTCTTACTGAAGATCCCTCTGGAGTTCCCTCATAAAGTTGTTTCACTCAGCTAGTTTTGCCGGTAACCAAGCTCTCTCCTCTTCTGGCTGGACTGAACCACTTCCCTCTCTTCTCTTCTCCCAACAGCTTCTGGCTTCTGTTTTGGCAGCCATGATTCTCAGGAGACATCTGATGGTGTGGAAGGTCTTTGCCCCAAAGTAAGTCCCCCCACTAAGTCGGTGCCACGTGGTGAGAAGCTCTTTCTCTAACTCAGGGTTCTCAACCTGTGGGTCGGGACCCCATTTGGGGTCGAACGACCATTTCACGGGGGTCGCCAAACAACGCAGTCTGCCATTTCCCCCCCCCCTTTTCCTTAGCTGTGCTACTCCCTTTTATTCTATTGGCTTTTGAAAGCCAATCGGAATAGACTCTCTTGAATAGAGTCTAATTCGATTGGCTTTCAAAAGCCAATAGGAATTGTCCAGGCTATCTCTGCCCTGCTGAGCCCGCCAAAAGTCCCATTCTGCAAACGGTGCTGCACCAGTTGAGTAGTCCTCGACTTACGACCGGTTGAGTAGTCCTCGACTTACGACCGGTTGGGGGGTCGCGGCATTAAAAAGGTTGAGAACCACTGCTCTAACTCCTCCCAGTCCAAAAACCCACACGGGAAGAGTCAGGATAGGACTCCTGAGCTTGGGCTGGAGGCGGGGTGGATGGCTGGAAGAGTTGCAGTTGAGCTGATCAGAAGTCAGTATTGTGCTTTGCCAGATTTCTCCTTTTACTGCACACCCAACTTTGTTAGCTTCAGGCAGCTAAAAGCAGAAGAAACGGGGAATTGATAAAGAACAGGGAGGCTGTAATGTCAGCCCCAGGATGCCTGACTTAGGTTGCCTGGTTTCCTGAGACACAGGATGTAGGAGAGTACCAGACTGAGCTTGAGAGAGGGAGGGGTCAAGCATGTCATCAGTTTGGCATCCCTTCGCTAAGTCCAGCCCTCCTTGAACTCAGTTGACTCTTACCAGTTGTTCTTGTTTAGAGGCAGCATGGATTAAATGTGTACTCATTTGAACATCTTGGCTCTTGATTTCTTGCACCTGAACTTCAGGGGATACCCTGGGGCAGGGGTAGGCAACTTCGGCTCTTTTATGACTCATGGACTTCAACTCCCAGAATTCCTGAGTCAGCTGACTCAGGAATTCTGGGAGTTGAAATCCATGAGTCATAAAAGAGCCGAGGTTGCCTACCCCCTGCCCTGGGGGCTTTGGCATTTGCTTGATGAGATGAGGCCCCATTTGTCCTGAGCGCAGACCCCCCCCCCCAACCGCAGAGGAGTCCGTGTCCTTCCCCAGGTTCTGTCCTCTTCAGGGACAGACTGCTGAGCTTCCTGCAGAGAGAGCTGGTGGGGAGATCTGCCCCACTGAGCATTGGTTGCCTACTTCCCATGACCTCACCCTGTGCTTTTCTTCACCCTGGCAGGTTCCTCTTCGAAGCGGTGGGCTTTGTGGTGAGTTGCGTCTTTCTCCTCCTGGGCCTTGGCCTGGTGATGCGCGTGGATTGTGCTGTCAGCAAGTGGTTCAAGCAGGTCATCCTTGCGCAGTCCAGATAGCGCAGCAGTGCAAAGGAGTCGGTCGAGTCAGTGCTTGCAATGAGGAGATGCTCTCTGCTTCCTCTCTCTGCCAAGGACAGAGACTTTGGGAGCAGCAGAAAGGAGGGGACCTTGGTTGCACCATATGAATGGCGGGCAGATGCAGCGGAACGGCCCCCTGGCAAGACTTGCCAAGGAATGGGAAGAAGCACCAGATGAAACCAAAGAGAACTTTCGGTTCCTGCACGCCGGGTGCCTGGGGCGCACAGACATGTTGTGGGGAACGACAGGGTGGCAGTTCTTTCTTTCTTTATAATTCTGGAGGATTCAGCAACTACCTCGGAAGGAGAGTGTGCAGCAGGCTGGCTTGGCGACAGTTTGGCAGCCCTGGGCGTCCCAGGCCCGGTTGGTACTGAACAGTGTCCTGGGGAGGGAAGCTCCAGCAGGGCCAAGCGGTGGGCAAGGTGCTTCGCCTGGCTCAGGGGCTCTGAGACACAAGGCCAGGCTTGAAGGCTGAATGGCCAGGGATTTGGAGATCATTGCTGCTATCAAGTTGAGATGCTAGATTCTGGGTTCCAGGTTTTGGATTTGGCTTTTTGAAATAAAAGTACAGCTTTTCAGATTGGAGTAGTAGCTTCAATGGCTGCTCATATGGTCTTGGAGAGCTAAGAAGGAACCACTTGCCTGATCTGGGGTTCATTGAAGAAACATCAGAGGCTGCATGTGTGCCAAGTCAGTTGTCTCTCTGCCCCACGAGTGCCACTCCCTGCTGCCCTGGCTGGATGTTTCTGTGCAGCAGATGTGCTCTAGCTTCTCACTTGCTCTTCCACACGCTCTTTGATGGAGCTGAGTATCCCTGACCGATTTCAGCTTCTCCTTGCCTAGATCCACTGAGCCGGGGCTGGTAGTTAGAATACTGATTCTATTTTGGACTAGCGCAGGGAGAAAAGCGTTTAGCTACGCCTGATTTCAGTCTGGAGCACCTCCAGAGAATCTCTCCCAGGTGAGAGTATCTCATATCTCCCTCTCCCTCTCTCTCTCTCTCTCTCTCTCTCTCTCTCTCTCTCTCTCTCACACACACACACACACACACACACACACACACACACACACACATGCCCCCTGAGACACACACACACATATGCCCCCTGAGAACCTGCCCCTTTCTCACCTTTTGAGTTGGCAGGTTTTGTAACGCCTGTCCCTCCTTCCCTTCTTCTGGATTTGCTTTGTGGCAAAAAGAACCTTTTGGATTCTTCCTGCAGTCAAAATGGAAAGGAGAGGTGGCTCTATGGAAGATGTAGGATACTGATTAACTAATTCTATTATTTTTATTACATTATAAATTGAATGTAAATCTTCCTGGGAAGAGATCTGTGGAGCTCTGAACTGCAGCAGTGTCTGAAATCCCTTTGGGATTGCTGCTGCCGTGTCTTGCTGCCTCTTGCCAGTCCAAGGCAGCTCAGCAGAGGGTTTACCCAAGATTTTTATTGATGGCTGTCACGAAAAGGATGCTAGAAGTCACGAGAGGGGATTTAGAATTTTGATACTGAACTGACGAGCACAAGGAAGTAAATGGACTGCAAATTCCAGAAACTGTCTCCGCATGATATTGTGCGGCTGATATGATTTCCTTCTTAGCTTACAGAAAAGGCCAGGTATGTTCCTAGTCTAAATAATTGGGGGGGGGGGGTGATCACAGGATGTATGAGCCACAGACAAAAGCATAATGGTTCAGAAAGCAGATGTTATTTTTACAGTTAACACATTTCTCTAGAGTGGCTCATTAGATGGCTAAACACCAGCCCTGCAGTGGTCGGCATGCTTCTTGTCATTAGGGCCTCCTAATCCATGGGTGCTTTAAAGCAGGGGTCTTCGACCTTGGCAACTTGTGGACTTCAACTCCCAGAATTCCTCAGCCAGCAAGCTGAGTGAGGAATTCTGGGACTTGAAGTCCACAAGTCTTAAAATTGCCACGGTTGAAGACCCCTGCTTTAAACCACAGGCTGCTTGGGCAGAGCCTGACCCTGGGCAGCCTGACCCTGCAAAAGTGCATTTTCAGCCCCCAAATAAGGCGTTTTTACAACCCACCAGCATTTTGCTGCTACCTTCAACATTTGGATGAATTAAACCTGCTGCTCCTTAAGAGTGCAAAAGAATCGAGTTTTTCAAAGGAGGTCTCCCCTGAATTCTTGAAGGATAAACTTAGGACAGGAGCCTCCACGATTGGGAACTGTAAGACTTATGGACTTCAATGCCCAGAATTCCCCAGCCAGCTATGCAGTATGCTGGCTGGGGAATTCTGGGATTTGAAGTCCACAAGTCTTAAAGTTACCAAGTGTGGCCACCCCTGATTTAGGAGATAAACATAGTAAAGGTCGGCTTTAGGACCTGCCCGGCAACCTCGAGTAAAAGGGGAGGTGGTGGGGTCGATGCCTACTCCCCTCGAGTAAAAGGGGAGGTGGTGGGGCCGAGTCCCCTTTTTTGGCCTCTTCAGCCAAGAGGAAATGCACGTGGCCGGCGTGCGCTGCTCATTGGCTGAGGCCTCGTGAGCGGACCCGCCCATTGGCTCCCCTGCAGTACTCGAGTTTGCCGCCGGTCGGTGTTGCCTCGGCAACGAAAGCGTCCCGGCCAATCGGGCGTCGCGGTAGGAGCGTGCGCCCTAGCGTGTGTGATGGCGGGCGACGGTGACGGGTGCTGGGCCTTGTGGCGGGCTGAGAACGACCGGCTGGCCCGGCGCTGGCGGAGGGTGCGCGGCCGAGGGAGAGAGGGGGGCAGGGGGAGGGGGCGGCGTGCGCTCGGCCTAGTAGGACTAAGGCGGTCTCTGGTGCTTCCGTTGCAGGCGGCGCCCTCTCCCGGCTCGGCTCCACCTCAGCAATTCGCGGAACTGCTGAGGAAGATTCAAGGTAGCAAACAGGCGGTGGGCGGGGTCTCGACGGGGAGGCTGGGGTGTTCCCCGGCACCCCCCTCTTTCCCCTTCCCCTCAGCTTTCGGGTGTGCCCCCCCCCCGCAGGGCTCCCCGCTGTCCTCCCGAGCCTTTCCTTGGAGCTGGCCATCCTCTGCAACGCCCTGCCCTTCGAGATGCGCCCGCCCGGCGGCGGCCCCCAGCGCGCCTCGGCCTGGATCGAGCGGGGACTCCGGCGAGGTAAGAAGCGGAACGGGCCGGGCGTCTCCTGGTCTGGAAGGGAGACCTGGCCAACGCCCCCCCTCCCTCCTTCCCGCCAGTGTTGGAAGCTTTCGCTGCGCCCGAAGAGGGTCTCGATTGTGGGGAACTCTGGCCGAGGGTCCTCCAGCAGGCCGCGCCCAAGGAGCTCCGGGCCCCCTTGCAGCACCTGGCGGCTCTGCAGGCAGCGTCGTGGCTGGCCGGCCACCAGCTGGAGAGAGCCCGGGATCTCCTGCTGCTCCTTAACGGTGCCCAGGTGAGGAAGAGAAGGGGAAGGTTGTGTTGGGGCTGCGACCCTGGCTGCCTCTTCCCTAAGGAAAGCCGGGATAGGTGGGAGCTTTACACTAGAGTAGCAGCTAATCAGGACCTGGTGAATTACTGAGAAAAATGCCTTACTAGCCTTCGAATCCAGCATTAAAAGATGGCCACAGGCCAAGTCCGAATACCACAGGGCCTTCTTTGTGGTGGGGAGGGGCATGGATAACTGTGATAAACTGTTATTGTTCTGCAACCTTTATGAGTCTTGGCCTGATATTAAATCCCTTGACAAACAGTCAGCTCAAACTTCTGGTAAAAGCAGACCATTTTTTCCCTAGCAGCCTAAGTAGGAGGCGGCAGAATGGCAGACAAGTGGGTACCAAGAAGGATGACAAAAGTAATGAGGACCCCCTCTTCTCTCTCTTTGGGCTGTGCGATGCAGCCCCGTTCAGTGCTTCCCTAGATCCACCCATTAGATTCAGCGAATTGATTATATCATGATCGGCGTTGCTGTCTCTCTGACCATCTTCACAGCTTGGAATTCTTTGTTGTTTCCTTTTCAGATCCCAGACCCTTCTTGTGTTGGTTGTGACAGTGAGCTCCTTTCACTGCTGCAGATGTGGCACCCCCATGAAATGGGAGAGTCTGACCCCCTGGTGGTGCAAACCATCACAGATTTGAAAGAGACTCTGTGGACTTCAGCTGCCTTCTTGCAAGGTAAATGTGAGATCCTCCATTCTCTGCAGGCTTTATGATCCTTTGAACTTTCACCTTTGCCCTTCTGTTCCTTTTGCCAGTAACACTTTTGTAGTTTCAGAGAGAGTCCTCCGCTTACGACCACAATTGAATCCAAAATTTCTGTTGCTAAGCAAAACATTTGTTAAATGACCTTTGCCACATTTTATGACCTTGCTTGTCCCAATTGTCAAGGGAGTCTTTGCAGTTGTTAAATTAGTAACACACTTGTTAAGTGAATCTGGCTTCCTCGTGGACTTTGCTTGTCAGAAGGTCACAAATGGGGATCACGTGACTCTGGGACACTGCAACCAATCATAAATATGAGTCAGTTGCCAAGTGTCCAAATTTTGATCATGTGACCGTGGGGGTGCTGGAACTGTTGTAAGTGTGAAAAACGGTCATAACTCACTTTTTTCAGTGCTGTTGTAATTTCAAGAGGTCACAACTAAATGAAAGGTTGTAAGTCAAGGAACTATCTGTAGTTCTCTTTAGATAACTGGCACAGAGATCTCAGCATGCAGCAACACATTAAATTGAATCAAATTAGACTTTTTGATGCCTGTTTGCTTATTCCAGGTGTTCAGGAGCTGGAATCTGACAACCCCCACCATGCCCTTGTCTTACTCCAAGCGGCTGCATCTGGGCTATGTTCTAAGCGGGTCCTTGCCCAGATCTTCACCTTAATGGGAAGCTGCTACCGGAAAATAGTAAGGGAACATTATGTGGATAAAATGAAAACAAATCTAGGCCAGAGAATCATCAAATATAAGAATGGGAAGGGACTTTGGAAACCAACTAGTGCAAAAATGTATTGTACAATGTCCCTGACAGAGGCCCGTCCAAGATAACTTCCAATAAAAGAGAGCAATTTGTAATGCTGCTGAATAGCTGCTGGAGTTGGGATAGTTTCCTTGAGGGCCAATCAGATCCTCTTCCTCATAATGCAGAGCCACTGCTCTGTTGCTTGGAAACATGGGGGGAACGAGAAGCAGCACTCGGCGGAAAGCACTCAGTTACTGCAACGAAGGGGGAATTGTTGAAAGGCCAGATTGGAGGAGGCAGATTATCACGAAGAAAAACTATGTAAACATTGAGAACTGACAGTGACCTGATGGCACATAATCTGCCTGCATCACAACCTTGATTTATCCCAGGAGTAGGCAACCTTGGCTCTTTTATGACTCGTGGACTTCAGCTCCCAGAATTCCTGAGCCAGCCATGGTGGCTCAGGAATTCTGGGAGTTGAAGTCCACGAGTCATAAAAGAGCCAAGGTTGCCTACCCCTGAGTTATCCTATTGAGGTCTAGAACTTGGTCTACATTGAAGTTCATATTGCCAGTTTTTATCACTACCAGTTGAAGACCTTCGTATTTTTTCAAGTAATGCATACATATTTGGAAAAGTACAGATAGTCTTTGACTTACGATCACAGCTGAGCCCAAAATTTCTGTTGCTGAGTGAGACAGTTGCTAAGTGAATTTTGTCCCATTTTATCACTTTTCTTGCCACAGTGGTTAAGGGAATCGCTGCAATTCTTAAGTGAGTCACATGGTTGTTAAGTGAATCAGGCTCCCCCATTCTGATTTTGCTTATCAGAAGGTCGCAGAGGGGGATAACGTGACCCTGGGACACTGCAACCGTCATAAATATGAGTCAGTTGCCAAGCGTCTGAATTTTGATCATGTGACTATGGGGATGCTGCAATGGTCGTAAGTGTGAAAAACGGTCATAAGTCCCTTTTTCGGTGCCATTGTAACTTTGAACGGTCACTAGATGAACTGCTGTAAGTCTAATCCTCAACTTACGACCACAATTGAGCTCAAAATTTATCTTGCTGAGTGAGAAATTTGTTAAGTGAGTTTTGCCCCATTTTATAACTTTTCTTGCCACATTTGTTAAGTGAACGCTGCAGTTGTTAAATTAGTAACACTATTGTTAAGTGAAGCTGGCTTTTCCATTGACTGCTTGTCACAAGGTTGCAAAAAATGATTACATGACCCTGGGACACAGCAATCGTCATAAATATGAGTTAACAGCCAAGCATCTGAATTTTGATCCATGGGGATGCTGCAATCGTCATACATGTGAAAAATGGCCATAGGTCCCTTTTTTCAGGGCCATTGTAACTTTGAACAGTCACTAAATGAATTGCTGTACGCCAAGGATTACCTGTACAGGGCTTAGAATCAAACCATATAAATATAGTATTTGACTTCTCTTTCCACTTTCATAACCTTCTTCTTCTTCTTGTGCCATATCCGTTATCGGACATTGGCGATCCTGTTTTTATCAGCGGCCACACGAAAAAGTGCTGCTGAGTTTTGTCCAAACCAATCCTTTAGATTTTGAAGCCACGATGTTCTTCTTCTGCCTGGACCTCGTTTGCCTTCAGTCTTTCCCTGGAGGATTAAATGGAATATGCCCTATTTTTTGGGGTGTCGCATCACATGTCCGAAATATTCTAATTTTCGTTTTTTAATTGTTTTGATGATTTCCCTTGGCTTTCCCAGGCGTCTTATCACCTCATTTCTGATCTTGTCAACCCAGCTTATACTTAACGGCCACCTGTAAATCCACATTTCCAATGCTTCTAGTCTCTTCAGGTGGCCTTCATAACTGTTACCATTATGAAATATAACCCTTACTGGCTATAACTGTCCCATTAACTCTGCATGTAATGGGATCACATTTCACCTTTTTTCTGGTAGAATTTTGTCCAATGCATTGCTGAAGTTGCACTATGTCCACTTTGACTTTACTTGTCAGAAGGATGCAAACTGGAATCACATGTCCCTGGGACACTGTAACCGTGATAAGTATGAGTCAGTTGCCAAGTGTTGGAATTTTGCTCACATGACCAAAATTCACTTTTTAAATGACATTTTTCTTTGTAACTTCAAGCGGTCACTAAACTGTTGTAAGTCGAGGACTGCCTTTATTGGCCTCCCCTCATTAGCACTTCCAGTTCTTCCAACTTGTTCCTAGTTCTTGGAATGTTTCTACAGAGACCCAGGAATCCTTGGTTATGTAACCTGACTGACTGCTCTTTGTATTGGTCCTTCCCAGTCAGCTTATCACTCCAGTCTTTGGATTACAAAATAGGATAAGGAGGGGGAGCATCTGCTGAATATCCCATTTATGATAGGAGGGTCCCCATTGGTGGGTGTTCTTTACAGAAGTTCCCCTCCTATGGAACCCCCTGTGGACCATCCAAGCAAGGATGGCTTGACTGAGCTCAGAACAGTTTGTTGTGACTCCCAGAAATCCTTTCAGCTCCAAACAGCTCTCTGAAAACACTGAGACACAACTGCCGAGCCTTGTTTTATTCCAGTTTAATATGTTGCGTGAACCCAACTGGTGTAGACGCTCTATGGTGAGAAGCAGATCCTCAATCCTCTTACTCTTTTGAATCTCCAGGGCAAGCCACACACAGCGCTGCACCATCTGAAGCAAGCCCTGGAGATGGACTCCACCTTCCTGCCAGCCTTGTACCAAGCCGCTCTCGTATACCACCAACTGGAGCTCACAGAGGCAGAACTGGAAGCTCTGCTGCTGCTTTGTCAGGTGGGTCTCAAGAGGATGACCCAGCGGTGGCCTCTCCGCCTTCCTTCTCCAGGGAGGAGGGGAACTGATTGCACCACTCTCCTTTCTGTCAGGCTGGGAAGAGGGAAAAGGCTACAGCAAACGTTAGCAGGGTGTTTTATTATTATAATGCTGTAAGCTGCCTGGAATCTGTCAGATTCAATGATGCATGTTGCATTCTTCTAATAAAGTGTTTCCCAACCTTGGTCCCTTGAACATGCATGGACTTCAACTCCCAGAATTCCCCAGCCAGTTTTTCTGGGAGTTGAAGCCCACAGATCTTCAAGGGATCAAGATTGGGAAATAACAGATTCTAATAAATTTGATAAAATGAGAAGGGTAGCAGGAACATGCTGGGGCTCAGTAGCATAGTGCTGAACCTGAGCAAGGCCCAAGTTCATTACAGAATTCAGCGTTTTTCCTTCACCCTCTTTCTTCTCTTCCCAGGCTCTGGAGAGTCCTCCACAGGTAACCCTGGAGTCCCACAACCTCCATTTCCTTATCCGAACAGAGCTCCTCACCAGCGGATGCCATCCGGCTGCTTTCCTTGCCCCAAGCTGCCCGTCAGGAGTGAAATATATGCTGGCCAAGAGATGTTTGCAGGCAGAGAGGTGAGGGCTTCCTTCCTCCCAGACCCCTGGGGCTGGGCTGAAAATGTTGGCCCCGGTTTCTCAAGAGAGAAGCCTTTTCTTTCCAAGTCCCAGGTGCCTTGAAAAACAACAGCCCAGCGAGAGCCCAATGGAGGGAAACTGTTCCTGGCTCACAGTCCGTGCCTGAGTAGGGCAGGGGTCCCTGGGCTGATAGGACAGCAGGCCACGGAGATGATGTTTCCTGATGTGTGTGGGGGGGGTGTCTCCTGCAGGGCAACAGAGGCTGCAGAACATTACCTGGACCTTCTGGCTCTCTTTCAGGAAGGACTTCTTCCCCAGGTGAGTTGCAACTCATTTGGGTTATATTTGCTTGAATGCCTCACGGAGACAGAGTTTGAATGTGTTAACAACTCCAGTGACTATCCCCCCCCCCCTTGACCCTCAGTTTCTCTTTCAGGTGGAGGGGTTGGAGGAGGGGGAGCCGTGATAGCCTGGTGGCACCTTTTCCGACCAACTTGTTTTATGGAAAGGCACATGTTCTCACAAACTACCTGTCAACACTGCAAACATTGGATGTTTTTTGCTTTGACAATATATAGAGGCAGCCTTTTCCTTTAGTTTGCTTTGCTCTTAGAATTAGAAGATGCTGGAGGGAGGAGGAAGAATGTTTCCCCCCGTTGTTTTTAATAAGATAAGAAATGGCAGCCTTATAAAAACGGACTAGAACCTTTGCCCTTCAAACTGATTGGAGATTGTGATTTATGATAGTAAATTAAGGGAGGGAATATGCTAGCAAAATATGTGCTCAGGGGAGGAGATTTCAGATCTTGGCATCCTACATGCCATGCCAAGGCTTTGTTACATGAATAAAGACCTTTTAGGATAAACAACGCCTGGAAGTTCTTTGAAGTGTTCCATTAGTCGGAACCATGACACTACAATTGATGCCTTTTAATAAAGTATGCTACAGATAACCCTCAAGTTACGACTATAACGGAGCGTGCCCATCATGGTCATAACTCATGATGGTTGTAAAAGCAGGATGATTTTAGGCAACTGGTCAGTAAGTGAACGCCACAGTAAATAAGCAAATGAGTGGTTCGCCCTGGGCACAGTGTGCCGAAAACCAGGAGTCAATGCCTGTTTTCAGCAAACCCATCATAAAATGCAGTTACATGACCATGTGGTGCTGGAATAACCATAAAAGGGCCCTGGCTGCCGAGAAGCTGAAGTGCAGTCATGTGTCCATGTGGGTTGTGTGTGACTGTTGGAACTCTGGATCATAGCTAGCCCCAGGTAGGTCGTTCATAACTTCGAGTGGTCGCTAAGGGACCATTCGTAAGTCAAGGACTAGTTAGAAAAGGGCTACAGGACTCCTGAATTTTTTTCTTCACAAGTGCAGAGATATTTAAAATGTGGTCTCCGTGATTACTGAACTTTCCCAGGGATTCTGGTGCCCTCATGTAAGCTCTGTGTTAAAAAGAGAAGAGGCAAAGAAAAGCCACCTACGGTTGTGGGCAGAAGAATGCGGGCGCAGAAACGAATCCTGCTGTTGAGCTTTGGGTGAAAACAACTACTGGATCTTCATTTTATTTTTGGTGCAATCCCCAAAAGATCTTCCAGTCAGGGTGCTGGGCTGGATTTGTTGCACCAAGGTTGAATTCGGGAGGAGGTGATTATCTCCGCTCTCACCTGTGAATATTGCTTCCTGGAGCAGGACTCATTTGCCCTGGGTGGGATGGGGTGTGCTTTCTTTTTTCCAGGTGTCTCAGTGCAGTGAGCTGGCCATGCCCAGAATTCCAGAGGTCTTCCTGGAAGCAGCCTCGGCTCTGGAGGAGGCAGCCAGGCACCAGGAGGCCATCATGGTGTGCGAAGAGGTGGTCTCCCGCGTAAGCAGGCTCATCCCGGCCAGGCTGCGCATTGTGCTGGACCTGAGTTCTGAAGAGAAGGCCATAGGGGCGGAGAGGTCCCCCTTGGCCAAATCTCCTGCTGCTGTCCTGGAAGAGCAGAGAGAGAGCCTGCGCTGTGTCCTTTGGCAAGCAGCTGCCCACTTGATCCAGGGCTGGGCAAGAGCCCAGCTGAGAGAAACCAAGGAAGCCATAAACAGCTTTAGCAGGTAACTGAAATCTGAGTGGATCCTGATCCAAGTCAGGCTCTTTGACTGGGCTTGTCTCTCTCTTCTGCACTGTTACACTGCTGGGTATTGTTTAGAGGGGAGAGGCTGATGGGATACAGCAACCTCATTTTGTGGAGTCAGGAACAGTCCCCCGAGGAGGAATAGAGCTGTATATGATATTTTGAATATTCTCCACATTTTGAATGTGATTTCCTCCATTTGATTCTACTTGCCCTGCTTGCGCTATTTGTGACCGAGAGCCAGAGAAATAGTGAAGGTTTCCTTCCAACCTCTAGCCTCTTTTGGAATCGCTGAAAAGTAGAAACTGTTTCCAAAAGGAGAAGTAAGAAATCCATCCATCGTCTCACTGTAGCAAAAGAAAGCTCATAGCCCTCTTTCAAAATAACAGAATAGGGCTTTATCAGCAAAATAGGGTTTTCTGTCCCTATGTGGGGCTAAATTCTTCTGGCAGCACAGAAATAATGGCGCCTCAATCCTTCTCCAACAGGTGTCTTAATGATCTCCTGAGAGTCCATTTGGTCAGCACAGGTATGGACAGAGGTATTCATTGCCTGCTTCTGCCTCCTTGACTTGATTTTCTGGGTTCCAGCAGGCCCTTTCCAGGGGAAATGGTCTTCAATCCTGAATCACAGGATTGAAGGGATCAGTTTAGCTGACCCATGCCATGAGTGAACATGCGCGCACATACACAAATACCACTCAGTATAAGAGTCCAAATTTGGGTCCACCCAGTAATAGACAACCTTCCATTTCTGGTTCTATTACTGAACTGCTGTTAGGGTTTTCCCCACCAATGATTTGGAATTTGCCTTCTTGTCACTTAAATCCATCCTATGTGTTGTGCACTCTGGGAAGACCAAAGAAATGTCTCGGCCTTCGTTTCTGATACTTTTTCATGTATAAATAATTCTTAGTTTATGACAGCAATTCAGACCGGAATTGCCAGTGCGATGTTATGTGATCACACTGCTTAGCAATAACCGTTCCAGTTATCATCGTTGAATGAGAACTTCACATGGTTGACTTCTGATTTCCTGCCGGCTTCCCCAATGACTTTGTGGGAAGCCAGTGGGGAATATCAGGAATCACAATCAATGTGTGACTATGCTTCGCGGCAAAGTTGTATTCACAAACCGAGTGCCACATCACAATCACATCAACATAGCAACACTGTGGCAGCTGGAACTCCGAGGACTGGTCATAATGATGACCTAATTGTAAGTTTGAATAATCATTGAACAGGTGGTTATTAAATGAGGACCACTTGTCTTTGAAGGGTGTTGGCATTTCCCTTCTCTGTCTTGTCTTATAACAGCAACAACAACAACAATAATAATAAGTAGTAGTAGTAGTAGTTGGAAGGGACCTTGGAGGTCATCTAGTCCAACCCTCTGCTCAGGCAGGAAACCCTATACCATTTCAGACAAATGGCTATCCAATCTCTTCTTAAAGACTTCCAGTATTGGAGCATTCACAGTTTCTGGAGGCAGGTTGTTCCGCTGATTAATTGTTCTAAAAGTCTTCTCAAAGTCAAGTGTGCCTATTTCCTTCAGCCTCTCTTCATGGGTTTATTTCAGCTCCCCTAAATTTGGTTGCCTTTCTGTGAATCTGTTCCAATTCTCTGGAACCTTCTTAAATATAATTTGGGTGTGGGGTGTGACCAAAGCAGAAATCAGTTCTCTCCCTTTCCCCTTTTGGGTGGCTGGCTTTGCCTTTGGGGTGCCTGCTTCCCCAGATAATACTCCCAAACGTTTTTTAGGACAACCTTAAAACCCTTTTTATTCTGCAGAGGGTTTGGGTGCTGATAACATTGGGCTGTATTAACTAGCTAGTCAGATTGTTGGTGGTTTTTAATTGCTGTATTTGTATTTATTTATTTATTTATTTATGAGACTTATATACCGCTTTAAGTGCAAGCACTCTCTAAGCGGTGTACACCAGTAAGCAATGTATATATTTATTTACATTGCCCCCAACAATCTGGGTCCTCATTTTACCTACCTCGGAAGGATGGAAGGCTGAGTCAACCTTGAGCCGGTGAGATTTGAACCGCTGACCTGCTGAACACAGTCAGCTAAAGTGGCCTGCAGTACTGCACTCTAACTGCTGCGCCACCTCGGCTTCATTAGTATTGTACAGTGCTATACAGTATTGTACAGTGCTATAAACCCTAACCCTTTGGGAGCTGGCTGGTCTACAAATAACTGTATAAATAAAAACAAGCAAACAAAAAATCCCTACAGCCACAGTTTTGCTACCTTTCTGGTTAGAGAGGAAGAAGAAAGCTTTTCCATGGAGCCTCTAACCAAATTGCTGGAATTGGGTAGGTCTAGTTTAATGAAGAGAAGGACGAGGGGGGACATGATGGCAGTGTTCCAATATCTCAGAGATTGCCACAAAGAAGAGTGAGTCAAGCTATTTTCCAAAGCTTCTGAAGGCAGGACAAGAAGCAACGGATGGAAATTAACCAAGGAGAGAAGCAACCTAGAATTAAGGAGAAACTTCCTGACAGAACAATTAACCAGTGGAACAACTTGCCTCCAGAAACAGTGAATGCTCCAACACTGGAAGTTGTTAAGAAGACTGGACAGCCATTTGTCCGAAATGGTATAGGTTTCCTGCCTGAGCAGGGGGTTGGACTAGATGACCTCCAACATCATCATCATCATCACCACCATTATTATTATTATTATTATTATTATTATTATTATTATTTCCTTAAAAAATTTAAAAATTCATTCATCTTCTTTGTACATATGCAAACTAGCAGAGAAATAGGTCACAAAGGAGGGAGTGATAAAAAACAACCCCCGGTTTATAAAGTTTGTGGAATCTTGTTCTAATCTGGTAACCTGGTCTTGAATTTTATTTCTGCATTCCGGATATTAGCTATCCTCCCTAATTTTGTGTTAGCTGCAAATTTGTCGAACCTCTCCTCCTTCAACTAAATTATTAAACTATTGAAGCCCAGAGGAGCCAGGAGTAGTTCCTCACCTGATGAGCTGTTCCTCTCCAATTTGATGAGCTATTGATGGACAGTCTTTCCCAAACAAAAAGTCAAGCTCTGTAACACCTGTGCAATGTACCTGAGAAGTGCACAACCAAAACTGACAACCCTGCTGGCTTCTGAAAATTACCACTTTGTTTTCATGATGGCTCCCTTTGGGATCTCCCCAGGATCACTTCAGACTGCATTTACATCTCCTTTTTTATACGTCACCATTATGGCCCCGGGTGGCACAGAATCTAAAGCAAACAACTTAATTCCCTGAGTCTTCTCCTTATTTCAATGAGGGATGTCAGTTCTTCAGGTTTGGAGACCGGCCATCAGCTGGTTCCTTCAACCAAGGTGCAGGGTGCAATTTACCTAGTGCTGAACTTCCTCAAATGAAAAAAAAAGGGGGGGGGTCTGCTAGGCAGTATAGAGGTCTCTGCTTCCAGTGCTTTTCACTCGGGCAAGGAGTTCCTTTTTGCCAACTCTGCCCTGGCATGGCTTTATCTGGCAGCTGGCTGTCCCTGTTCTAACCCAGCCTACGTGAGTCTTTGTTAAGCTCACAAGGAGAAACCCCTCTTCCAACAAGCAGGCTGGAACCGCAGGAAAAAAACCAATCCCCTTTTATTATTTACAGACCCGAGTAAATGTCCAAGGCAAACAAACACAGTTCACAAAAACTCGATTCCTTAACGCAAACGGTTGCCTTCAGCAACCAGCACTTCCCACACCTTCCCTTTTATTATGCAGCCAAGGCATAGTTTCCTAATGCCTGCCTTTGGAACCGCCCCATTGCATTCCTCTGTCCGACTCTTGTTTACGTGCATCCTGGATATCTTCCAGCTGTGAGTCATCACTGTCCAACTCAGACTCCCAGCACAGCTGTGTCTCAGCCTGAGCACGAGTAGAGGGCCCAGGTTCCTTGTCAGACTGTAAGTCTTGGAGCTCCTCAGAGCCTTCCTCTGACTCTGATGTCACTCCAGGCCCCTCCTCCTCCTCCTCTGATTCCCCAGACTCAGCTGCCAGGTCCACTGGCTGGCGAGGAATCACAACAGTCCTTGAAAAATGGAAGAATTGGCTTTGTTTTGGTGGGTCATATTTGGGGGGGAGGGTTCATGGGCAAGGATTGTTGACATTCTTTCTCTGCCAGGCAACTGCAGAACTGAACCAGAAAGGGAGAAGACAGCCATCCCGGAGGTGGAGCAGCTCCCCCAAATCAGACTCCTGGCCTTGACGGGAAGAGGGATCCAATTTCTGGAGCTGGGGAAGTTTAAACAAGCCTTGATGGATTTTCAGTACAGCCTGCAGGTCTCTCCAGGTACCTTCAGCACTAAATTCCTGCTCTTAAAGGTTAGGGTCTATTTAACTGGGCTGGCAAGGAGGATGTACTACACAAAAAAAGCCATTTCTGTGTGTGCCGGGGGGTGGGGTGGACTTGGCCAAGGCCACAGAATCTGGGTTCGTGACAGGGAAAATGGCAAAGACCCTGGACAAGGTAAGCATGAGGATGAGAGGAAGCTGTTACCCAAGAGGTCGGTTGTGATCATATCTCTGTCAGGCACGAAAGACCAGGACCACACATGAAGGTCCAGTTAAGCTGATTTATTGCTATTTATGCCTATTCACAGGAATCTTCTTGGATCAGCAGAATTCAAGGGTAGCCTGCTTATGGCCATGTAGGGATTCTAGGCTGATCCCTCTTTTCACTCCATCCCCAGGTTCTGCCATCCCTTCTCCTACAATCTCTTCCTTTTTGTCTTATAGACAGCCACACGTCCACCTTGTACTTATTACATACCCTCTGGAAACTTGACCGGAAGCAGGAGGTGGTTGCACACTGGCCTAAGCTCCCATCAGAATCTGGTCCGATGGAGGAAAACACAGGAAGGTGTGTGTCCTTTGAGTTTGTCCCTCTAAGTTAACTCAATCTATGAAAGTTCCTTCAGTCTTTCTCTCTTTCTCTTTCTCTCTCTCTCTCTCTCTCTCTCTCTCTCTCTCTCTCTCTCTCTCTCCTCACCTTAACGGCATTCAGTTTGGGTCTAGTTCTGCTTCCTGGCTACAAATACGCAAAACAAACACTTCCTTTCTACTGGGGTTTTCTGCTACTCTGTCTGGTGACCCAGACAAAGAAAAAAACTTAAAACAAAAAGCATTTTATTTATTATTAGATTTATTTTTATTGTGCCTATGTATATATAGGCAACCCAGGGCAGCAAACATACATCCTACTCCTTCCTCCTATTTTCCCCATAGCAACAACCCTGTGACGTAGTTGGGCTGAGAGAGAGGGTCTGGCCCAAAGTCACCCGGTTGTCTTTCGTGCCCAAGGCAGATACTAAAACTCACCATCTCCCAGTTTCTAGGCCAGCTCCTTCCCCACTACACCAAACTCCTAACCCTTTCTGGAAATTCCGGGTGCTGCCTCCCCTGAGCTAAGTTAGAACTCCTGTAGCTAAAGGTTGAACTGTTGGGTTTTTTGAGCTTGGTTGTTTTCCTGCAGACATTTCGTGATCAGACTTGGTAACATCATTGGTGCAAGGCAGAGGAGGAATTTGCTGGCTGTTTATGTAGAGTAGCTTGCCCTGCTAGGTTTAGGGATGGTGTGGTGCCTTGATTAGGGTTTATTGCCAGTTTCCAGTTTATCTGAGTGGCAACTGTTGGAGGGCCTGTCTGCTGGGCTGTTGATTTTTTTCCTAGACTCTCGGGTATATCTTTTTAAATGGTATATAAACAAGGTTTATCCCTGGATCTCTGTCGATGGGTGATGTATTGGGAGGGCAAGCTTCAAGGAATTCCCTAGCATTGTTGAATCTGGCTTGATCTGAGATGGTAACAGTTTCCCAGTTGAAACTGTGGTTAAGCCTGCCTGTGTGTTGTGAAATGAAGGCATTTTTGTGAAGTGTTCTGGCTGTCAGCTGGTGCTTGTGTAATTCTGGGCATAAACAGCTGCAGAAGTGCAGCCTGCACCTGACAGGAAGAGCCACCTGGTGAAGAGGAAACTTTCATCTCTCTTCTCTCCGGGCTTTGGCCTTGTGGTTTGTACAGCAGAAGGCTTGGGGGGGGGGGTGAAGGGGGGCAGGCTGAGCTTCCATCTTTGCTCATCGCAAGCTCCTGCTAATTTCGTTCCTCCTCCCGCCCCTCCTTTTGTGTTCCAGATCTTTCCCACTATACCTGAGATCGTGCATGAAACAGATGGAGTTTCCTCACAAGGAATCCTTTGCCAAGGACATAAAAAGCCACCTTGGGGAAAACGGCCAGGCGCTTTAGTATTGCGGTGGCTTCTCTCCCCTTGCCAGCCTTCGTCTCAGCTGCTTCTCTCCCTTTCGAAAGAGCTTCTCCAGAGTTTGTGGGAAGAAGATGATGCTTTCTGTTTTGAGTTCTCGGGGGCAGGGGAGTGGGAGGGGTGACCTTTCTTAATGGCTCCCACATAAATATCTGCCAAGGAGCTCTGGCTCATGGAGCTGACTGGTATGACTCAGGAGGGCTTCACGCTCAATGGGAAGTGGAGAAGAGGCCCAGGCACGGAGAACGTGGCTCCCCTTCGTAATGGAGGAGAATGGGTGACCCTCAATGGGCAGCAGTTCAGAGGAACGGTTTCCAGAGCTTCTGGATCAAGACCAGGAAGAACTTCAAATAGGCATCCTGCTGGGGTGAGACCCATTGAAATATGGACATCGAGCAAAATGAGTTGTTCTAAAGCAGGCGTCTCCAAACTTGGCAACTTTTTAAGAATTGTGGACTTCAACTCCCAGAATTCCCCAGCCAGTGCATGCTGGCTGGGGAATTCTGGGAGTTGAAGTCCACAAGACTTAAAAGTTACCAAGTTTGGAGACCCTTGTTCTAAAGTAGCAGACAAAGCAAGACTTCGAGATGTACCACAAAGAAAGAAGATTCCTGAATATGGAAGTCCTCCTGAGATCTTTCTTGGTTAAGATTAAAAGGAGTTAAAAACCAAATTAGGCCATTTGGGGATCTGACTGTAGCCCCCTTCACCCAGGCAGAGGATGCAAATGCTTCCTTTCTAAGTCACCTTTCAAGATCGTTCGAGTGGTAATAGGAACCTTCAGTTGCCCCAATATTTGCTGAAAAATTAAAGAGTCAAATTCCCACAGATTTCTCCTCTCTCTTGAGAACTGAATGATGAATGGAATGTAAGTACTGTACATTTACTCCTTACATCAAGCCAAGATCTACCTGACCAGTATTGTTCTCCTAGTGCCTCTCCTCCTATATAGGGAAACGAGTGAAGTTTTCCAAATTAGTGGTCTTGATAGGCTTCCATGATTTGTTTAACCCCTTGTTACATTCATCCAAGTTAGTGGCCACCAGGTCAAAATGGGAACAATGTGTATAGAAGTGCTTTTTTTGATTTGTCCTAATTTTTTTCTTTTTCAGATCCCACCTGATTCTTCCTCCCTATCCCCTTTCCGTATACAATACATGATGTGTATTTTCAGTTTGATCATGTCTCTTCGTTCTCTTTTTTTCCTAATCAGTGACTGGCAAACAGCAGATGGCAGCAACTAACTAATCATGGAAAAGCTGAGGATTGTGCTTGCCTAATACTTCCATGAAAAATTGCCAGGAGTCCCAGGGTTACAGGGTAAACTGGAAAGTGGGGGGGGGGGAATGGGATGGCAAGGAAGGGCCAACAGCCAGGCCCACCTGGTGAAACAGAGGCCAGGGATGACGCACGTGAGCTGCAGCAAGCAGCCACAGAAGGCCCGGCGGTGATCATGCAGGCTCCTCATCTGGAGGGGATGCTGTTTTAATGAATTTGTGTACTAGATTTGACAACAAGATTTCCTTAAATTTTGTGATTCTGTAAATTGGGGGTCTTCAAACCCGGTCCTTTTATGACTTGTGGACTTCAACTCCCAGAATTCCTCAGCCAGGCACATGTGCCTGGCTGAGGAATTCTGGGAGTTGAGTCCACAAGTCATAAAAGGGCCAAGTTTGAAGATCCCTGCTGTAAATATTAGAAGGCGTTTCCTGGTAGCAAGAACTGTTCCCCTTGAATAGTGGTATAACTTTCAGGACGGTTCTGGAAGGCCACCTGATAAGGATTGCTTAGGGGAGTCTTTGCTGGAGATTTGAATTCAGAAGCAGCCCTTGTTAAAGGATCTGCTCCCCACTGTGCTAAAAGAACACCCAGTAAGTAACAGTTTCCTGTCAGAAAAGAAGAGTGCTGCTTACAGATTGTGTTGAACTTGCAGCAGTTCATTTAGTGACCATTTAAAGTTACAACAGCACTTAACGGTCATTTTTCATACTTAACCCTTGCAGCATCCCCATGGTCACATGATCAAAATTCGGCCCTTTGGCAACCGGTTCATAGTTATGCCGGTTCCACCATCCCAGGGTCACGTGATCCCCTTCTGCTACCTTCCGATATGCAAAGTCAATGGGAAAGCCAGATTCATTTAACACCCCTGTTATTAACTCACCGGCTGCAGTGATTCACTTAACAACCGTGGTGAGAAGATTGTACAATGGGGTAAATTCACTTAACAGCTGTCTTGCTTAGCAACAGAAAACGTGGGCTCAATTGTGGTCATAAGTTGAGGATTAGCCGTATTTGTTTGTTGAACAACAGTTGGTATTCTTTGTGTGCCCCCCCCTCTCGGAAAAGCTGTGTTGGATGCAAAAGCCCCCGTTCTCAGTGTTGATGTTCATCATATTCGAAGGAGATGAAGAGATACCTGAGGCTAGTCAACCCCCAGTTCTGTCTCTGCTGCTCTTCAGAAGCCCAGAGATCCATTTAACCTACAGCAGGCCAGATGAGGGGCAGGGGCTTGGGGGGACCCTTCCCCTTCTCTCTTTCTCACCACTTGCTGCCATGCTGATGAAGCTCATGGGGGCAAAGAGGTGGTGCAGCCACACCCATTCTTTCACCGGTTGGCCAAAACCAGGCTTTTAGCTTTCATTTCGTGTAGTCTTGACTTTTGCTTGAGCAAAAGCCCCACAGAAAGGAGAGAATAGAAAATGAAAGGGTTCGGTTGTCATCTTGGCTGGTGAAATTATTTGCAGGGGAATTCCAGGCAGCGGGAAAGTCAGAGACTCTTAGAGGAAAAGCAGACATCTCCTCTCTTTGCTTGCATCCAGATGCTGCCTTTCTTTCTGCCTTTCTCCTTAATCCCCGTGACTTGGCATTTAAATTAGAGGCAACAGAGAGAATTTAGAACGTGGAGTCCAAACCTGGCAACTTTAAGACCTGTGGGCTTCAACTCTTCACCACCTATGCTGGCTGGAGAATTCTGAGAATTGAAGACCATGGGTCTTAAAGGTTGCCACTGTTGGGTTACCCTGGTTAAAAAGACCCCTATAGGTCCCCCCTCAACAAACTGAAATGGTAAAAAAAAAATCAAGCAATGTTTATTTAAAAAAAGACTTAAGCCCAAGATATACAGAAAAGAAAATCTGAAGGATATAATTTGGAGGCTTCTTGTATTCCTAATGCATTTCATGGACAGGTGTGTAGCTTTCTCAGCTGCCAAATAATTATGGTGGAAATCAGTAGCCTGATGCAGCCACCCTGGAAAGAGCAAAACAAAAGTGGGCAGCTTGAACCGGGCCCAGTGAAGGTGCTGCTTGGGGAATTGACATCTGCCCATCTTTACATTGCTGAGGTTAAGAAACGCTGCAGTAGATCAAGCCCTCCGTTCAATGGAAAGAAAACAGTATCCTAGATGAAGGGCAGCAAAGTTATTCTGGAATTGCATGTAACAATTGGGGGAAAACTTGGGGATTGGCCTTAGTACAGGTAGTCCTTGACTTCATTTAGTGAAGTTGCAAAGGCATTGAAGAAAGTGACTTATGACCATTTTTCACACTTACAACCACTGAAACATTGTGATCAAAATTCACGTGTTTGGTAACCGGCATATCTTTGTGATAGTTGCAGTGTCGCAGGGCCACGTGATGGCCATTTGTAACCTGACAAGCAAAGTCAATGGGGAAGCCAGATTCACTTAACAACTGCAGTGATTCACTTAACTGCTGTAAAAAAAGGTAAAATGGGATAAAACTCAGTTAACAATTGATTTCCTTAATAACAGAAATTTTGGACTCCTTTGTGGTTATAAGTTGAGGAGCACCTGGATTTGCAAAATAGCAGGAAAAAATTCACTATAGGCACCCAGGAAAGAGGACTGACCAATTAATTTCTCCCAAATGCAAGTTTGCTAGATTTTGTTTTATTGGCCCTCCTCTCTGCACAAAAACACTTTTGTTTTGTAAAAGAACATCATTCTTTATTGATGTTTATTGTCCAATCACACTTGGCCAATAAAGAATACTGTTGTATTCTATTTTCTATTCTATATCCTATATTCTATATCAGTGGTTCTCAACCTTTTTAATGCTGCGACCCCCCCCCCAACCGGTCGTAAGTCGAGGACTACTCAACCGGTCGTAAATCGAGGACTACTCAACTGGTGCAGCACCATTTGCAGACTGGGACTTTTGGCGGGCTCAGCAGGGCAGAGACAGCCTGGACAATTCCTATTGGCTTTTGAAAGCCAATAGAATTAGACTCTATTCAAGAGAGTCTATTCTATTGGCTCTCAAAAGCCAATAGAATAAAAGGGAGTAGCACAGCTAAGGAAAAGGGAAAAAAATAGTGGACTGCATTGTTTGGCGACCCCTGTGAAATGGTCATTCGACCCCAAATGGGGTCCCGACCCACAGGTTGAGAACCATTGTTCTATATTATCCTATTCTATTCTATTCTATTCTATTCTATTCTTTCTTTAACCACCAAGAATTGTTGAACAAGGCACACAAAAGATGCTTCAGGCCTACATTTGTTAAGGGAAAATAATAGAAGAATTTGGAATGGTCTCACAGGTCATCTAGTGCAGTGATGTCGAACCTTTTAGAATGCCCAAACTGCAGCCCAAACCCACTTATGTATCATCGGGTGCCGGGTGGGTGTGGTCCATTAGGTGGGCGTGGCTGCGGTAGTAACGGCAGACTGGGACTAAAAAGTTCAATCAATTCCAACTTTGTGAGATCTTTTTTTTTTCCACTAGAAGTTGAAATTGATTGATTGAAACTTTTTTGTTGTTGCACACGGTGGAGGCCTAAAGTGAAAAGGTTTTATAAAACCCAGCTGAAGGCCTAGGACTGGGGCGACCGCACACGCGCCCACAGAGAGGGCTCTGTGTGCCATCTGTGGCACGCGTGCCATAGATTCGCCACCACGGATCTAGTGTTTCCCAGCTAAATGTTTCACAGGGACTCAAGAGTGATACAGAAACAAAGGCAGCCTGAATGTTGCTCTTTCTGGAGAATGCAAACAGGCAGAAGAATAAGTTCACTGAATTACCTTAATACAAGAAGCAAATTTGGGAGCAAAACTACAGCTCAGTTGAGCCTCTTTCCCAATAAGAATGGAGTTCATCAAACTGCCTCCCTTTCCATATTTTGCTGTCTTATTCATCACTATTATTAGTGTCCAAATAGAGATGCTGAATTAAAGGATTTTTTTTTTCTGTGCAAGCATTGTTAAGTAAAAGCCAGAATGTTTCCTTTGGGATGGACTCAATGGAAGTTTTCAAAAGCCACATATCAACCTTTATGCTGTGCAAAATCAGAAAATACTTCATTATTAGTCAGGCTAAGTATGTGGTGTGAATACAGCCAGATTGTAGTCACATGTCTGGTGATTTCACCTTCACCTATGGGAGCAATTATTTTTTTTCCAGGCAGAAATCCTGGAGGAATTGGCAGTTGTTTCACAAATGACACTCGGAAATGTTGATCGGTAGGTGGAGTGATGCTTTAGTTTCACTTGTCCTTTTGAAAAAGTTAATGGATGACTTAGAGCAGGGATTCTTCACCTTCTGCATCTTAAATCCTTCCGTTAGATACCAGAAGCCATTATTTTCTGAGAATGTGTACCTTTACAGGCATCCTCTTCTATTCAGATTTCAAGGGCTTAAAGATCTGGCTGATACCCCTTTCTTCTTTTACATTCCCCTCTGCCTCATTGTCCTTATGTCTTGTGGTTTTTTTTAAATTTTATTTTCTGCATTGATCTTGGTTTTTTTTTTTACTGTTTTTAGCAATTGTAAATTATCCAGAAACACTTGAGAGTTGGATGGCAAATAAATTTAATGAATTATTACTGTATTATTTACAGTCCAAATCCACTGGGGTTGGGTAGCCAATAAATTTAGTAACATCTGCTTATTCCAAGTCTTTGGGAAGGATTTGACACATGGGCAAAAAATGCCAAATCAAGTCAAATTTTTTGGCTAACTGGGTGACCAACCCTAATAAATAGTAATAGAGGAAAGGTTCTTTATTATTTGAAGAGGTGCAACATAAATGTGATTTGCTAAAGAGTGCAGCATGTTCCTTCAATTGAATAGTTTGCCATCATACAGGTAAAACATTCAGAATCAGCCTCAAGGTTGCTTTATGGCCTGTAAAGCATTTCCAATTGTTGTAAAATGT